ACAAATTAATTGCAATGAAAAATTCCACACGAGATTGCCCAGAGGAAAGAAAAGTAAAGAAAATCGGAGATTAGAAATTGCACTCATCGAATGGATTAGAAGGGGTAAGGTTCCTTTACAAAACATCCGAGCTAAAATTGATTATTGTTCCCATACAGTTCAAACTATCTATGATGTATTAGGCATAAAAATTTAAATATTTATAGATGAGGAATAATAATAAACTTTGACTTTTCTTTTCCTTTTATCTAATTTAGAAAGCTAAATTTAAACCTCTTCATTCTTTTTCTCAAAACTAGTTTTAATTCCATAAGGTTAAATAAAAATTTGATCGATTATTTGATAAAATTGCTATGCTTAGTGTGTGACTCGTTGATTTTTTTAGGGTTACAATTCAAAAAATCGGCCCCTAATAACCAACCCAGCACTTCGCAAAATCTATTTTTAGTTAAGAAGTCTCTATCAGAAAGCAGATTTAATTCTTCAAATTAGGCAAAAAAGACAAATTTATTATTTTTATCTTACGTATATAAGTCAAATAAAATATAAAAAAATAAAGAGTTTTTTTTTTTAATTTTTCTCTATTTTCAATGATGCAATACATATTGATAATCTCCTATTATTCCAATGTTTTGAAAATCGGATCGAATTGACCGATTCGACCAGTCAAACTACAAACGGATCATGCCTCCAATCCAATTCAATGAATAATCTAAAAAATCAATTGAATTCGTCAAATTTGGCCAAAAAACGGTTGAACCAATAAAAATTGAGAGGTTCAACCAATTTTTATTATCTAAAATAAATATTTTAATTTTATTCAAAATTTTTAATGCTAAAATAAAAAAAATTATTATACATTTGAATCAAAATTGAACCAGGCAAACCGAAAATTTTTTTGGTTCACTCTTAGGCCCGAGTTTAGAGACATTGATTATTCCTAGCCTAACATACTTGCTCAAAAAGGCTATAGAAGTAGCAAATTTGGACGAGCGGACTGATACTCCACCCTTTTTTCCCATTTTTTTTCCTTTTTTGTAAAGGATGTATTGCTGGCTGATCTAATCTCAGTCCGGACTGATTAACACATTTGATTCCGTTTGTTTACAGACCCCATTTGAAAAAAAAAAGCTTGTGATGAATAAAAGTTGATACAGAAGGATTTCTCCCCAAGTATACCTGCCACTCATATTCATACTATCACAAGATTTCTTCGCAGTTTCAGCGATGTGTCTCAATTGGTTTCTAGCAAAATATGCATGAAGCACAAAATTTATCAAAACCGCCCCTTAACTTAGTAGCAGCATACTAGCATCTATATCCTATATGACAGAAACAGAGAATTATTCAAAATCCCAGCACTTTCAGCTTAAAGATGTCGGGTGTTTTAACCCTCAGACAAGCATGCACCATTCTCTACGACCTCACATGGCATTTTCTTCGGGAAGAATTCATCATCTGGATACATCTTCTGAAACAGCTGCCACAAATAGAAGAAGGGCCTTCCCTCAGTATAAATATGTTACTATGCTACAGATCCAAATCAAATCTCCAAGTTCCAGGACAGAAGAATAAAAAAAAGATTAAACAGATCTCGTTCTGAAACTAATTGCAGCATCATTTACCTTTAACGCTGCATCTACAACATGGCTATATTGCAGATTCCCATCAGGCATAGGGGTTGAACTGACACAATCAAATCCACCCTACAAGTACCAAGATCTCGGAGCCATCAGCCAAAAAAAAAACGAATGCACATTTCAAACCAATACTAGCTTATCCGAAGGGTAAAAATGGGAGGATGAAATGCAGAAAATACATGCAAACTAATTGTAAACATGGCGAGAATCTAGTTTATAAGAAAAGGGGTAAGATAGCAAAAGAAAAACAGAAAGCACAAAAACAAACCATAATTAGCTCTTGTATGTACAAAGTGCTCCAAAGTAAAGTCGGTTTCACTTTCACAACTGTATTCTCCCTCAGAGGATCCCTAGAATTATCCTCTGAGTTACCAGAAACAGAAGTTGAAAACAAAGCTTCTATTGCTGCATTTATTGATCTCTTCCCTTGAACAACATCGCCACATATAGTTGATAGATAGACAACGAACCTGCACAAGAAGGGAAAACATCAGAGGATGGCACGTTCATCTCCACATAAGGAATTTCAAGTTCAAAAAGCATGATTACTGTGATTTATAAATTGCACTAAAATATTGTTCAGAATGGCTCACATCTTTAGCAACTAAGAAAGAGTTAATTGAAAAGTATTTCATCGTCTCTTATCTTTGAATCACAAAAATGAGCATGCCTGGCACAAATTCTTTCCTAGCACATAGAATCTACCAAAATGTACTGGCATTCCACATTATCTTTTGACAGGTAACTTACATGCCAGAGGGACAAGCCCGCACATTACTGCTCAATTGGAAGATGCGGACTGATGTCATCTGGTCAGGGCATAAAGCTAGAGAGTGAAAGTCAGCTAATAAAGTAGTCTAAATCAAATACAAGAAAAGAAATATGTTGTATTCGGAACTTACATTTAGGGGTATAGAACACCAGACAATTTGCTACATCCGGTTTAAAGGAATTATCTGTGATGCAAATTCCCCTGACCACCTTCTCTCTGGCATCTTGTTGGACAAAATCATAATAACCATCTTGTGGAGAAACTGAGGGAGTAGTCAACCCTGGTGGGATCACAAATGTGGGGGCAAGGATAAGATGATGGCTGAATAATTCTTGTCCCGTAACCAGCTTAACGCCCTTATAATTCCCAACATCCTGCAAAATGTGCAAAGTGATACATACAAACTCATAGATTTCTCATCAGCAGCTATGCTGGGTGTAGAAGAGGAACGGCATAAAAAAGAAAGCAAAAAAAATTCAACCAAACCTTGTCAACAAGCAGACCAACCACAGGCATTTGAGTAATCTGCATGGAGAAATTAGTAAAATTAAGGAATGCTTATGACTCAACAAAAAGAACAAGAGAATCAGTGGCATGACTCAGACATCAACCCATCACTCATCAGCAGTCAGGTCAAGGAAAAAGAGAGTAGGAATAAAGCAGCAGTGACACCCACAGGTTATTTTAGAGAGAGATGTTGCTCCTTTTAATGTTTCTTCCACCCCTTTTCTACCTTGACAATGGCAGCTGATTAAAACCCAAGTCCAAAAGCTTAATGTAACTAGTAATTGTCAATGCCCCATGATGAATAAAATGAGCAGCCCAGAATGAATAAACGTTTGAGTTGTCCAAATGTTAGACCATATGCTTTATGATTAAATCCTCACCGAAATGCCACCCATGATAGCAGCACGACGACAAAAGAAATGTGCCAGTTCTCCTTGTCCATAAATAGGATATAGCATAGCACCAGTTGCACCACGGAACCTATAAAAGTTGATAGAGTAATGCCCTTGAGCATGCAATTTCAAAACTGGAAAAAGAACAGAATGTATTCATATCTTTACTTCTTTACAAGAAAAATGAAAAAAGAACTACAACGAAGTACAAGGAGAAACACCTTTGCTTCAACCCAGAAATCTATAAACACAACAATGGTGGCATTATAGCCAAATTGACTATGATGCAGGTTATAAAATCAATGACACAAATCATACAACTGATGAATCCCAGATGGGCTCTAATAAGAAAAGCAAGAGTTCTAAGAGATCATAAAAAAAATATTAAACCTGGGGAGATGTGATCATTTTGGACTGGACAACATACAGAGTAGCACAGGACAGAATTAAAATAATCCTGAGCGTAAGAACATTTACTCCCCTTAACTGCAAAATGTTGTCTGCGTGTTTTACTTGCTGTTGAGAATCAAATTAATGTTGATAATTCCCAATCTCTCTACCTCACACAAACTTAAGAATCGATGAATCTGTACATAACAACATTGGATGTGGTTCTCAAATGAAACAAACATGATAGAAGACGAAAACCTGCCGACGGATTTATGATAAAGCATTAAACGATCAATCCCCACTTTTGTCTTGACAATGTCCTTTTTGCAAGCTGCCACATTGTCCTGTTCATAATCTGCCATCGTAATCGCATATAAAATGATCCTAGATAGACAGGCAAAAAATATATCAAAAGTCAAAAATATGCTGAAATGCAACTAAACTCCAAGTAAATGCATCCTTAAGAAAAGAGAAGTTACAAGTACTACACTAGTTGATCAAAACATGTCAGAATTTGAGAATTTACTTTCACTTCGGGTATAGTAAACAGAGTCATAATTCAGGCAGTATTCACTCATAGTATTAGGCTAAAATTTAAGTCAATAAGAAGCCAATCGGAAAGAAGAGAAGGTAAAACCGTCCCATTCTATATCAAACCACAAAAGAGAAGTTAAAAAATAAACCCAACACAGTAAAAATTCATATAAGTTCAGAAACAGAGAAATCATGGGTAAATGGAAGAAATAATGGTTATCTACTTACGATGTTAGCTTGGGAGACAAGCGAATTTTGCAAGTCAAAAACTCCACAAATGGAGTCTCTAAATCCTCTGGGGTGATTTTCATGCTACTATTATTTTCGTCGTCCTCCTCGTTACTAGTCGTGGTACTAGATTTAGAATTGGATTGATAATGGGCCTGAAGCAGCTTGAAGAACCTCATTAACTGATTCTTCTCCTTCAAGCTCAAGGTTCCATCTCTGAATATGGCGTTACGTGAACCCGGCACACTATTCCACAAAAGCCCCCCACCTTTGCCTTTTTGGCATTCATCATAAATACAATAGCTGGTGTCCACGCTCATGAAACTCATGCAGTTCTGAACATCCACATCCACAATCAAATCCACCATGGGATCCGCGCAGAATAGAACCCTAGGCCCCGCTAAATCAAGGTTAAATTCTTTTTGCAGTGAGTCATCCAAAACTTTTTCAGGGGAGTACACGTGGACCTCCACGAAAGAGTAGAGAGGGCGAGTGCTGAGGGGCAGAATGTTGAATGAGGAGTCGGTTGTTTGGTCGGTTGGTGAATCGACCGTACGAAAATCAGGATAATCATGATCAGAAGTAGTAGCAGAATGGAGGTGGAGGAAAGAGATGAGGTCTTTGGGTGAAAGGGAAGCAAAGGGGCTATGGTAGTAAGGGTCAGGATTGATTTGAAGTACGGTCTTTCCGGCTGAAGCTGCAGCGGCGGCGATGATGGACTCCGGAAGTCCGGTGCCCACCACAATTAGATCAAAACTGGTGGGTTCGATTCGGGGCAGCCCTGCATCCTCCTCAACCGTCATGCATGTCATCAACTCACCCGCTCTTTCGCCTACGGGAATAAGGATGGGCGGATTTGTCTTTCTATTAAAAAATTGCTCCTCCTTTTTGCTATCGCCAGGTCAGATGATATGACATGGAACTCAGCTGTGGACCACTGGAGAAAATCATTGGGAAAGCCATTTTCCCAAATTTGGATAAGGCCGATTTGACTACCTTCCGTAGACGACGTCAACACAGAGTGCTATATTTATTTATTTTGTAACGGACGAATCACGACGACGTTAATTATTAACTCTCTCCTAAGCTTGCTTGCTGCTTCAAAATTCAAATTTTGCCAGAAAAAGGGAACGTTTTCGTATAAATCCCACCATTTTTGTTCATCAATTTAATGTTTTCTTCCTTTCGTATCCCATTTCTAAGCTGTTAAGATTGAAGAGAGAGAGACAGAGAGGGGGGCCCACTATAGCAGTGGCAAAGGCCAGTGAAATTTCTTGCTATTTAAACCCCCTCCCGAATTTGTTCACTCATTTTTTGGTAATCTGAGCAAAAATTTGGATTTTTTTTTTTTGGCAAAAATGGGAGTTGAAGATGGAAGGAAGCATCCTCTGGTTTTTGCTTACTATGTCACTGGTCATGGGTTCGGACATGCCACTCGTGTTGTTGAGGTAAGCCTACTCGTATGAATTCCTCCAACTCTCGTGGAAGACTGGTTTTTTTTTTTTTTGCTTTTTTTTTTTGGGGTGAAGTATTGATTTTGAAGAAATTGGTACTGTGTGGGATTGAATTTAGATAAATTTCTGATGGTGCTCCCTTTGGATTTTTGTTTTTGGAGTTGATTGTATATGACTTGTGCTGTGGCATCTTTCGGATAAATGTGTAGGGGAATGAAAATTTTATTGAGATGTTTTTGAAGTTTTTTTGGTGACATATATCTGAGGATTTAATCTGCAAAGTCTGATTTTTTTTGATTTCTTGGACCAATTGGTAGTTGAGAATTTTGGGAAGAAGGGGAAATTTAAGCTCTGTTTCATTGGGGCTGGTAGCCTTGTGGTTTGGAATTGGATTTACACTTAATGGTGAGACATTCATAAACTGGAAAGTCTGAATAATAAGCCTAAAAAGAAAAATTCGGAATAGATTGTTTAACGCTGTGAAATTGTTACTAATATCGGGAGAGTTGTCAAAGTGAAATGAAAAAACAGAGGGATAGATTTGGATAGCATTTTTTAAGAGTATTTGGAGCACTTTTTGGAAAGTGAAAATGGTCTGGTTGCAACTTTCAGAAATGGAAGTTTGGGAGTGCTTCAAAGCATTAGCTATAAAGAGGGCAAAATTTGTTTACATTTATTGATTGATTTATTTATTTTTTGTGTGAGGAGACCTATTTGTTTTTAAGGGCATCAACCGTCAAAATGTACTGTGCATATATCAAATATACTATGTTTTGTATGAAATGTATTTACACGTGGAACTTATGCTCTGAGGGATAAATAAACAAAAATTGCACCATAGTATTCTGAAGTGTGCCATTTTTAGAAAATTTTCCTATGAGTAATTATTTTGGTGGTTGGGGGAGAGCCTTAGAAATTTTTGTGAAATGCAGTCAAACATATGCATGTCTCCTGATTGTTTTAGTTGAGAATTCAAATTGTGAACAATGAGCACTTCCAGTTGTGAATGTTTGGAGGAAGGGGAAAATATAGTTACATGCCATTGGGCTAGTAGCTCTGTTGTTGGATGCCTGCTCCCTAGTGTCAGAAGTCAGAAATTTACCTCCTGCCAAAAATCAAAGAATGGTAAAAGAGTGGGCATACACGTTGACATTGTCTGATAATCTAATGTCAATAGCTGTACTGAGTTATTATCCTCAATGGACTAGAACTTGCTTATGGTCGTTGATCTGTTAATTGTCTACGCATACACGTATACCTGCTTGCTACAAAGAAATAATTGAATGATCCTGTCTAATTGGTGGTAACAACTGGACGAACAATCATGAAGCGACGGAATATATGGTACTTTGCTGCATACGCTGTCATAGAAATCCCTGCTTCTCCCTTTTCTTTGGGATAAAACTGTAGAGAAATACTTCATTTATTGTGATTCATATATGGTTTGTTAATTTGCACTATATACATTGGTATAGGTTGTGCGGCATCTGATTAATGCAGGGCATGATGTTCATGTGGTCACTGGTGCACCTGATTTTGTTTTTACCACTGAAATACAGTCCCCTCGACTGTTTCTCCGCAAGGTCCTTCTAAATTAGAAAATAAGTGTTACTTTTTTGAGCTGGAGTTCAACTGTTACTTCGCTTGTTAGGTCGTGTTATGGCTTTGAATGTTATTCAATGTCCGCAATTACCAGGTTTTGTTAGATTGTGGAGCAGTTCAGGCAGATGCTTTGACAGTGGATCGGCTAGCTTCACTGGAAAAGGTATGGCAGATTATGACATGCAAGGATAATATCAGATTTGTACAGTTATTTGTTTCATGTTTTAGCTAGGCAGAGTATCTTGTGAGCCTAATTATGTGTATTTGTTGATTGGTATAGTACTCAGAGACTGCTGTTGTGCCTCGTGATTCTATCTTGGAAACAGAGGTGGAGTGGCTGAACTCGATAAAGGCAGACTTAGTGGTAAACACTTTGAGTAATTCTTCTTCATAAATTACAAGTAGATGTTTATTGGCAATATGAAACTCTACTGATTTTATCTTTATATCTCTCTTACATAATTTTTTGATCAGTTTTTTGAGACTTCAGAAGAGAGAGAATTAATAGTGAAAGGTTATTGGACAAGAAATTTACATATGTTTCAAAATAGGTAGAAGAATTTGGTTTACTAGTTCTGCTTAAAATTTGAAGTTCAATATAGAAAAGGGCAAACTTGCAAATCATTTTCACTATTGTACTTGTTTTTATGATAATGATTTGCAAACTTGTTTAGTCCAGAAGGTGTGTACTTAGTGCTGATGGAAAGATGAATTGAAAAATGGTTTTCTTTTTTCCCTGAATTTGTTTTTCATTCCTCTGCAATTCACAAACAAGATAAATTAAGTGCTTTGATCTCTTTCTAACTGGAATTTTAAGTGCACACATGTCCTTTGATGCGGTAGAAGCTGGTTAAGCTAAATGGTATGTGCATGTTGAAATAGGTCTCAGATGTCGTACCAGTTGCTTGTCGAGCAGCAGCTAATGCAGGAATCCGTTCTGTTTGCGTTACAAACTTCAGGTAATGTGTCATTAAAAGTGTATTTTAATCTCTCCTCATTTACTTTTTGGATGTTATTTCATTTTAGCTAGGCTATGCTAACACGCTTAATTTCTTTCTGCAGCTGGGACTTCATCTATGCTGAGTATGTCATGGCTGCCGGGATTCATCATAGGTCAATCGTTTGGCAGGTGCTGATCTTCAACTAATTAGTAACAACCGCCCCCCCCCCCCCAAGTGCCGGGTGCCAAAAAAAGGAAAAAAAAATGTATTAGAATGGTACACTGGTTACTGTTTGCTTTAGTCAGAGATTATTGGGGGAGGAATTGTAAGTAGGAGCTCATGGGTTCAAGACCTATTAAAAAAAAAGAGTCAAGGATTACAAAATGATTGAGGTCTTGCATATTAAATCTATGTAAGATCATGGAAAAAGACTATTTTAGAGAATATGGTAATTGATGATCTCAGATTTCAAATATTTGGCAACTTTTCTATGGCAATCAGGCAAGAAAAAGTGGCACTATGCAATTCTTTTGATTCTCCACTTGTAATGTTGCTCATGTTCAATGATAGTGCTATACTGTTTACCTCTTGTGATTCTGTATTCGGTTTTTTTTCAATATGATTTGCAGCCTTTGCCTACATGTAAGCATGATGTATTTAACTAAGCCTTTTTGACTGAAATGTTAATTCTGAAAGTTTGCATATGTGTTACATGGTTATTGAGATGGTAACTGGAATTACAGAAAACAAAGTGCAAGTAAATTTATCAGGATGTCATGCGGCACCATCTGAGTTTTGAAGATAGATGAACTTATCAGAAACACACATCAATAAATACAAAGGTGTAAATGCCATAAAAGTTTTATTTCTTCAGTTTTTAACTATTATAGTGATATCAACCATTCTTCATTGAATAGATAAAAGTTTTATTTCTTCAGTTTTTAACTATTATAGTGATATCAACCATTCTTCATTGAATAGATAATGAAGTGTTGAAACTCTAGACTCAGGAGGTGGATCATGTAGTGCATTTATCAGTGACATTGAATTTGAATGTGCTTCATTTCTGGATGTATAAGAGGACAAATATTTGAAGTTTGCCACAAGTTATTTGCATGATGCTGGATAATGTGAACATCTACAATACTCTTTACATCATGATGTCTATTACTCATCTAAAGAATCTATCCTTGTGCTTGTTGTAATATTTGTTCATTTTCCCTTGGTGCTTCTTGTGCTTCTTTAGTACTGTGTGCCAGATCCACCTCTTCTAAGTATTTTTCTTCGTCACATTTTTCAAATCTAACTTCATTTTCTCTTTGACTTCACACAGATTGCAGAAGATTACTCTCATTGCGAGTTCCTTATTCGCCTCCCAGGGTACTGCCCAAGTATGTTAATTTTTTTATATTCTTATGTTTTTTTCATTCTCTTCTTCAAGTATATAAAAAGGATGGAAAATCTGATAGCTTCGTTTTCCTTAACTCTGAAAATGGGCATGCAACATTGCAGTGCCAGCATACCGTGATGTGATTGATGTACCTTTGGTGGTGAGAAGGTTACACAAGTCTCGCAAGCAGGTTTGTGTAGGGTTTCATGTGCGGTGATTGTTATTATCCTCAGCATGCTTGTATGAATTATTCCACTGTTTTAATAATCCAGGTCAGGGAAGAACTTGGAGTTGGTGAAGATGTGAAGGTTGTTATCCTCAACTTTGGCGGGCAGGTATATGTTGACTAATTCATGCTTATGGAAAATTGTCTTTGATTAGTCTATTAGAAACACATTTTTATTTTGTTCTTAGGCTCCAGTATCTTCCTAGATTTTGGTTATTCTTTGCTTAGTCAAATTTGTTGAGATTAGATTTGTAATCCATGTAGCGTGTGGCTGTTATTTTTAAGGTTTAAGAGCCTGTTTAAGGACTCTCTCTTTGATGTTTCAAACCTCTTTAGTGAGAGGTCCTCAATTCAGTAAAGTTGAGTGTCAATTAGTCACGTAACAGGAGTGTCAGTTGTATTTCTTAACAGTACTTAAAGCAGTAGCTTTATTAGTATAAGTCAAGTGACTCATACAAGTATTCAAAGAAGGGCTTGACCTGGTTCTAAATAATTTTCTGCATTTTGATCTAGTTTTCATGTTTCAAATGGGAACTTATTTCAATTATTTGTCCTAGATGCTTATCTTGCTCCGTTTGATGATTTGGTTTCTTCTTTAGATATATAAGTTTCTTGACACTTCAATTTACACTGATGCATATCGAGGAGTGGGTGAGTTTGGTGGCATTTGGATCTCATTTTGCAAAGAGGGCTATGGTGTTCCCATTACCGCGGTCATTTTAGGTCCTGTTTGGATTGTAATTTTTTCAGAGTTTTTCTAATAAAGTATACTGTAGCGATGTGATGTATATGAGTTAAAAACATGATTGGGAAATGTGTCAAGGGAATATTTCAAACATTTTTTCTGTGAAAGCTAACAATACAAATGGGCTTTTTTTATTTTGTTTGTTTTTTAACCTAACAGTCATTGATGAAGCTTGGATACAGTTTATAATGATGGCAGCCTTTGTTACATGGGTTGGGGATGGATGTCAGTTATGGGTGTGTTTCCAGGTGTCAAATTCTTTAATTTTCTAATAATAGAGTACTGTGACATGGCCAAAGGCTATGGATGCTAGTGCCAAGGTGCGATCTGTATGCTCATTTTTGAGTAACATACTAAGCAGATATGATGAAATAAAACCGATTTATTTTAATTTATGTGTCCATAAATGGGTGTAAAATTAATGTTTTGGTGGTGATAGAGATGAAGCATTCTTCCTGTAGATTCTAGGAAAACTTCCTTAGTTGGAAGAATTTCAGCTTTTGGTTTCATTTTCGAAGTACTGAATGGATAGACGTGAAACACTTGGCATGAGTAGCTTTCAGACCGCTTATGTTGGCAAGCATCAAATAATATTATCTTTTGGTGACAAGTAAGAGAAAATAATAGGCAGGTTGCACTACTTTAAGTTGTAGCCAGATAATTTTGCTCAAACCAACCCATTCTGAGTTACTTTTGTTAGGATTACAGAGACAATACCTGTCCTCCTGAAATAGGTGGAAATATCTCCAAGGCATTATAACTCTAATTTTGCTTCTGATATCTTCATACATTGGAAATCAGTAAATATTTGAAACTTTTTTCCTTAGTTCTGTTAGTTTATACATTACGCATGGAACTTTTTCTCTGGTAATAAGTTTAACCTTGGTCTTGTGCATATTTTACGTCTTGTGAATATATGAGGTCTAGTTGAACATGTCGCTTTACATGTCCCAATTTCTTTCAGCCAGCAGGTTGGAAGCTGAAGGAGGAGTACTTGCCTTCTGGTTGGCTCTGTCTGGTATCTGGTTTAAATAGCGACTGAATTTTGTTCACCAACAGAAAGTGCCAATGTTGTACAATTGATAGGGTAAAAATCCACTTCATTGCATCCAGGTTTGTGGTGCTTCCAATAGTCAGGATCTTCCCCCCAACTTCATAAAGCTCGCAAAAGATGTCTATACCCCTGATCTCATTGCAGCATCTGATTGCATGCTTGGTCAGTTGGTAAAGGATAGTTGTGTTGAAGTTTATATTTGAGAAATAAAAAAAAGTTTATAGTAGCCTTACCTACTCTATTCTTTTAGGCAAAATTGGATATGGGACAGTCAGTGAGGCATTGGCATACAAGTTACCCTTTGTCTTTGTACGTAGGGACTACTTCAATGAAGAACCCTTCTTGAGAAACATGCTTGAGGTATCATTACTGTAACTCCAGTTATGTTTTTTTTTTTTTTGGAAATTATTTTGTTAAAGTAGAATTAAGATGTATAGGTTTGGATGAGAGGCGTTGTATCACTTCCCCCCAGAAGAAGTCCAGAAAGTGTTATTTCCTGATACTGAACCCTTGTTTTTGTTTGAGGTGGAGCACTACAAGCTCAAAAAAAGAAAAAAAGAGTGCAAAAAAGTTTTGGTCTTGATGTTTTTAATAGGATTAATCTTGTATCTCTCTGTCCAAAAAAAAAAAAGCAACATCACTTATGATTGTTTTGAATAGGAAAAGTTCACGTCTCTGTATGAGGTGGAGACTAGCTACCCAGGCTGCAGAACAAACCAAAAAACCCACCTCATGAGAGAAGTCTTCTCAACAAAATTCTTCTCCACTTATTATAAGTTATATTATGATTTGACGTTGAGTTCCCATTGCTCTTTGTTTGCTGTCTAATTGTGCCTTTATCCTGCAAAACTTCTTCATGGTACTCTCTGTTCCGATTGATATTGTTATTCTTTCTACTTTGGGATGTCTAGAAGTTATTAACTTACTAAATTCATATATGGACACTACCTTTGTTTCAATTACTACAGAACATTGCCTAATGAATGCACCTTTTATGAGTAAACTGGGGAACAGGTTGCAATTACTATGTGTGCACTCTGAAAATGTCACAATTTATGGCTTCATTTCCAGCCCTGCATATTCTCCATGAAACATAAATTCCATGTAGTCCTATAAATGGCTTCTTCAGCTAAACAGCTACATCACTGTCCGTTAACAAGAGTGAAGGAAAGGCATGGAAATTCATATTTGAAGCTAAGATTCATTTTTGCACCAAACATCTACCCAAACTTGGTACTCTTATATGAAGCAAAGCTAGATGGCAGACAGATGTCAATCCCTTAACCTCCTAACCCTCGTGACATCAATCCCCATTGTTACCTGTAATTTCAAGCCATGGCTATTGAATCTTGTCTCTCACACCTCTAATCTGCTCAACATCAGAATCTCTTTGCAATGCTCTCCTTGCTCAGCACCTTGGAGAATTGTTAAGTTCAACTCCTGAATCATGTTTTTCAAAAGATTAATTGTTCTACTTGGCATTATAAAATTTAGCATAAATATATGATCATATTTGCTACTAAGAACTGTAAGAAATGCTGGATGCTTCATAACATGTTAAAAATTGCAGAACTCGCTTTAACTGAACTACATTAAGAAACTTCTTTCTCTGGTTTTATTCCTTATGAGTGATAGGGTAATTTTCCTGTTTTCAGCAATATCAAGGTGGTGTTGAGATGATAAGAAGGGATTTACTGACTGGTCATTGGAGACCATATCTTGAACGTGCATTGACCTTGCGCCCATGCTATGAGGGAGGCAGCAATGGTGGTGAGGTATCACCCTCTTCTTTCTTTGATGGTGAACTTGATGATAGAATCTGAAACTATTGATTCTTTGAAAAGGTTATTGTGTTTACTGCATTGTGAAGTTATGGTAGAACTTTGACATTGAGTTTAAATTAAGTTTGGCAAAAGTAGTTCCCGATGAGATTGTGAGATAGATGTCTGGCTTTATATTTCAGAAGATGTTACAATTATGAGAAAAGATGTTAAGTTGACATAACAAATAAGAATATCTTGGTTTTGTCATATTTCATCCCTTTGTCATCAAAGAACAAGTCTATGTGCTCGTGTTCCTTATTTGCTGCATAACATCAAAGTACATGTTAAGTTGGTGGGAGTGAGCTTAAATTTACTAATCAGGGATCATGCTCTGAATATAAGCTCTTTGGTGCCACTGGTGCCATCAAGAAATTGAGAATTAAGGGGCTAATTGCAAATTGTGCTGTCACACATGGAGATGCATACTTATACAAACAATATTAGCTTGGGGTCTTATTGCTTCTGCTTTGAGTAGGACTTGTATCTTTACTGTTCTTGCTATCAAACTAAACTGTGCTATAGAGACATTGGCTAGCAGCATTTATCTGAACAATATGACATAAAACTTAGGAAAAAACATTAAAACTTCTAAAATGTACTTTTCATCGCAGTTAGACACCAGAAATACATCTGGCATTGACAATCTTTCTGCTCAAAAAGTAGTTAACTGACTATTCTGAGTCTAGAAAATTTGAACAATAGAATCTTGGTCATATCTGAACAAAGGTGGTGAGGCCTTACTCCACATTCATCAGAACCTCCATGATTATGAAAGCCAAGCTACTGCATTGTGATCTCATACAAGACTGACACTTTTTTTGTGGTGGTGGTGCTGTCTGACGTTGGATTGCTGTTTGGCATTAGGTATAAAAACAAGGGGCCTCATTCATGTTTGAGCTAGAATAAGTACTGCAACAGAGGCTCCTTATGAAGAATTTTTTAGAAGTGGCTGTTTATTAAGAATTAAGAGAGCAAAATGTAAATATGGTTGACTAAGCTTTTAAGATTATTCTATGCAAGTTATCAAGTAAAGTTATTTGCCTGATTTACTGGAATTGTCAAAATATTGCAAGTATATTCCCCTTGAAACACGATGAAATGGTACAAAGTCTTACCGTCTACATATAAAACATGATGCTTACATTTTAAACCTGTAAAGAGAGGTTCTCTTGAAAGCCTTTGCAATCTTTTTTACATTGTGTTCCCCAAATACTTTTCCTTGATTGGGTAGTACTCACTTAGCTGGATGCAATGCACTTTACCTGGCAGCTATTAGAAATTGGTAATATAATCTGTTCATTGGTAGAACTGCAAGAAAACCATACAGAAAAAAATTAGCTAATGACCACATCATAACATGCTACTGCCCTTCTACAATTTTGACTTTGAACCATTTGTCCACTTTGATGAGATGTTTATGTACATTATTAACAATTTAAGCTGCATCTGGGTTTCTATGGAAAGGCATAATAACCCTGCTGTTCTTAAAAACTATTTAGGCTACTATCATGATTTACCCCTTTTCTGTGGAATAATGTCAAACCTTACAATACTTCTAATGCATGATTTCAGGTTGCAGCACGTATTTTGCAGGATACAGCTTCTGGGAAAAGCTATATATCAAATAAGGTAAACTAAGATATGTTTCTTCTGTTTTCTAACTTTTTAATTCATGGTTTTGCATGTATTCGGGGTAGTTATGACTGTACATTAGAGAACTTGGTCCAACCATGACCCTTGTCTATTGTTTTGCCTCGAAAATTCTTTTCTGTTGAGGTGCCTCTTGTGCTGTTCACTCCTGCATAATGGCTTGCTTTCCTTTTCCAGTGACATTTGAGTTTGTTATTTGAATGATAACTCAGTCAACTTTGTATTTGTTTTTGGAAGTGAAATTTCATTCACGTTGGTTTTTTCATGGTATATAGACTTCTATTTAAACATTACTAAGCATTTCAGAGTAGCTTAATGGAAAAATATGCTGAAATCTGGAGTTTCCATGTGTTATATTTTTGTGGTCCCTTTAATGCCAAAGAATGAACAGATCAGAGATTCTCTCATGGAAATGTTTACACTTAAATATATAGTTGCAACATTCCTGGAAATGAAAATGTGAAGTGTAAAGGCTTAAACTATTACAGTGGTTTTTTTTTTTGGGGCCTCCCTGTGTATGTGCCATGTTTATAGACTTCTATTTAAATGTTACTAAACATTTCAGAGTAGCTTAATGGACATATACGGTGAAATCTGGAGTTTCCATGTGTTATATTTTTGTGGTCCCTCTAATGCCAACAAATGAACAGATCACAGATTCTCTCATGGGAATGTTTACACTTCAATATATAGTTGCAACACTCCTGTAAATGAAAATGTCAAGTTTAAAGGCTTAAACTATTACAGTGGTTTTTTTTATTTTTGTGGCCTTGTGTATGTGCCATGTTCCTCACATGGTGGTCCTTTTCTTACATTGATGAGTGGTCTACTTACCACCTTGTTTATCTAACAGCTTAACTTTGAGAATAACAATAATTGATGTCAATTATGTACAGATATGCCTCTTTTAGCTTGTCTTTTAAGAAATTTGGGAAGTTTTCTTCTTTTGTAGTTGTTGAGGAATTGTAATACCTTTTTGGGTGCTTCTTTTCTCCTTGCTTCTTTCCATTCTGTGTTGTTGGGGGTTGCCTGTGGGGAGGGTTGGCAGCTCGTGGCTTTCAATTAAGTAGCTTATATTCACTAAATATAGGATTGGAATAACCATATGGTCGGCTTATATTGGAGCAATTCATTACCATAAGACAGTGCCCTGCGGCCCATATTGGATCTTTTACTTGACTAGGCTCGAATAATGAGTACACATAACAGTTTAAAAAGTGGAATGGGGATCCACCATGTTATATAGGGTTGAAGTGTGGAATCAACTATCTTTGTCGATGTATAAAATATTTGACTGGAAAAGTTTTTTAGCATAAGGATTTCATACAGGGAACAGGACATTAAAATGGAAGAGACCAAAAATACAAGGTATTGGATCTCAATGCAGGTCCTTACTATTTTCCCATGAATTTCTAACAGAAGATGGTGATATGAAGGTATATTAAGAATGCTGAATAACATTCTCTTCATCAGGAATAAAAACACCAAATTAAGAAGTGAGAAAAACTTATAACTGTTCTCATGAATGTCGATTCATTCTAATTCTCTCCAAAGGACATATGAGAACTTGACTTTCTTAGAAGGGAGGATTGAAGAAGGAAGGTGCAGTACTAGGTTTACTAAGAATGAGATTGGTAAGAACTTCTAATTATGCTAGCTTTGCATGGTAGAAAGTTTTTAACAGTCTTTTACTTCATAAGGACAATTAAGAGTTCAACAAAATTCCGTTCAAATTCCATCATTCCACCTTATTCCTGGAGTGTTTTAACTGGTTTAGTTTCCTAGTCCTTTTAGAAATGCTCATTTTTTTGTTTAAACTCCATCTAATTTCAGAAACGTTCAAGTTGGTTACATTTTTGCACTTTCTTCCTCTATAAAAATTCTGACTATGTCACACCTAGTTATTTTTAGAAGCTGCATTGGGTGAGCAGCTTTTTTATTTTTTTTTCCATGCACATAATATTTTCTCAGAATTGGCAACATTTGCTATATATATATATATATGTATACATATAATTTCTTAGCCCCATCTTCTTTAGATGGTGATATCATTTTTAAGACTTACAAACCACTACGGTTATTTGTTTTTGAAATCTAATAATTATTTGAATAAAATTGGTTTTCAACTGCTGCTTGATTTATTTCCAATGAGTTTGAAGGATAATTTATGGGTTATGCTGGAAAAGCTGTGATGGACTGCAGTAAGATAATCACAAAATGAATACTAGACAATAAATTCTTGAATAGAAATAGACAAACTTATGTATTTCCGAGAGAAATTTGGTATTATGTATTACATCCACTTGCATAGGCATATCCTGCTACTGATCTGTTGGTGAATTTTTCTTTTCTTTTATTTAGCTTAGTGGCTCTAGGAGATTGCGAGATGCCATTGTTCTTGGGTATCAATTACAAAGAATGCCTGGAAGAGATCTTTGGATTCCAGACTGGTATGCAAATGCAGAAACTGAACTTGGTCTGCGAACAGGATCACCAACTGCTGAAATGCGTGATGATAGCTTCCTCATGGACTCGTAAGTTTTGTGCACTCTTTCTTCTTTTTGGTCTTTGCCATTTACAGCCTCTGATTGCTGCTTGTATGAAAATTTGTTTGTCATTACCTTAGATGCCAGGAAGACTTTGAAGTTCTTCATGGGGACCTTCTGGGTCTGCCAGATACTGTGAGTTTCCTCAAGAGTTTAGCTAAGCTAGATGCTGCGTATGATACTGTAAAGAATACGGGGAAACGCGAGATAAGGGAACGCATAGCTGCTGCTGCCCTCTTTGATTGGGAGGTAATCTGCACTTTCAGCATCCTACCGTCTAATAACAAATGAGCAGCATTGCCACAACTAAGTGGACGAAATGTCAGCAAGGGAAAGTTACTATTTTTCGAATATTACTGACAGCAAATCCTTTGCAAACTTTACTGTGACTAAGGCCAATTTGGAGCATTGATTGTTTCTTTTGAATAGCTTCATAACCCTGACGGGGTGTATTCCTATCCAACCTAATATCAACTACACTAGAAACCTCATTATCTTTGAAACCACAACACTGGGTTTTATGCAGTTTGAGTTATAAGCACAAAAAGGTATCCTGGGTTTGGTGTAGTTGCACATGCCCTCCTCTCTTATGTCCTATATCACTTTTACCTGCCTATTAGTTTTTTCAAGTTGATACTTTTATGCTTTTATGTTTCATTTAGTTATCTGTCTCCACATTTCTCTTGAAGGTGAATTGAAAATCACACTCGTACAAATTTAGTGGTGATCTTGCTAACAGGATATACTCCTGAAAGAAGGTCAATATAATTTCAGAAACCAGGATGCAGGTCTCTGTGTTAATTTAAAAATTTTTTGGACAGTGCAATTAAGCATGATTAAATGATTCACAAAAATTGTCACATAATGGTCAAATGTTATCTTTGTTTATCTCTTTTTAAAGTTGAATGCTTTGTTTTTAATTGGTTGATTTTTAATGTGTCTTGATACTTGTTGGGTGAAAAAAATGAAATTAGCCGTTCAGTTACATTGTTGTTCAAATTGCATATTATGTTGTTTCTGAATGATCGGCTGTTACAGTGACTTCTTCGGAATTTTGATCTTTTAGTCATACTTAGAATTCTTTAGTAGAAACCTTTTGTAGTATTCAATATACTGAACGGAACCATGGTTGTTGACTTGTTGTATAGTTTTCTCCGTATGGATTTTTAAACTCTTGTCCTTTTTTTGAGTAAGAATGTACAAAATTTACATTTAAATAAACTTAGTAACTTTCTCAATGTTGTTTGCGTGTTACCCTCCTTGGATTTGCCTCTATCACCTTGGATGAAAGTCCTTGTTGAAACTGCTCGGTTCTTTATAAGCTCTTGTTATTTATATAGGAAGACATTTTCGTGACAAGAGCACCAGGAAGATTGGATGTCATGGGTGGAATTGCTGACTACTCAGGAAGCCTTGTATTGCAAGTATGTGAAATGCCCCTACTCCCTCATTTTTATTTATAAATGCAATTTCTTTCTGCATCCTTAGATTCTTTGCTTCTATAGGGTGCTTCATCTCAGTATCAGATTTAAACCTACTGCTAATAAGCCTAAATTAATGAGTTGAGCATTGGCTGATTTGAGTTCTGCATATGATCCCTTCACTACAGAACTGTATTTGGATTTTTTATTAGAGAGGTACCTTTTAGATTAGTTACTAAGTACAGCTTCTTTTAAGGAAGCAGATTAAAAACCTTTCAACTTAAAAAGGCGTTGTTTATTACTCCTGCTAGTCAGTCTCTTGTCAGAGCTCTTAGTTAGCTGTATGTGCCTTATGAAGTTTCAAGGTGGAAGCCTATCACCACACTTGTTTCGAATTTTTTGTTTAGTATAACTCTCTGTTTTATCTTCATCTTACGTAAATACTCTTATTATCACTGGAATTTTTTTCTGTAGGGGAATTCACATTTTGTGTTTAGAATTCTGAACTCTTTATCTGTGCATATTCTAGTACTTAATTTATCTAGAATTCTGAACTCTTTATCTGTGCATATTCTAGAATTCACATTTTTTATTTATGAGATTCTAGTACTTAATTTATCTGTGCATATTCTTGTGGTATTTCTCTGTCCTGCCTTTTTTTTTTGGGTTCGTTGCGAATCTAATCATCTTGAGAATATCTCCCAGATGCCAATTAGAGAAGCTTGTCATGTTGCCATACAAAAGATTCATCCTGGTAAAGAAAGGCTGTGGAAGCATGCTCAGGCTCGAAAACTTGCAAAAGGAGATGGCCCAACCCCTGTGCTACAAATTGTATGTAATCTGCATTCATTTGGAAATCCATATGATTGTAAATTACTATATATGTTTGAATGCTACTGCTTGTCATTAGGGATCAAGTAAGATGGTCTAGAGAAAATAGACTCTTAAGATTTTGTTGTCTATTGCTGTTCTATTTTCTTAATGATTTTGTTACCAAAAAAAAAAGAGATAAAAACATTATATTGCAACATTATCCATGGTCTTCATACTTGCATTCGGTAAATCTTCTCTAATTGATGATCCTAAAACCTGCTATGCAGGCAATATGGTAAATGTATATGCTTTAATACTCAAGTTCTGTGACCTCTCTTTGATTGAGGAAGTTTTAGGCGTTTCATTACAAGTCCAGCATCTTCTACTATAGACTTATATTGGGGATTCAATTTTCTTTGTGTTTTATTTATATCAAGTTCAATGTTCTGGCTCAAGATGGATTGAAAATGCCTGTACAAAGTCAAAAGAATTCAATAGGAAAAACCCTGTGGTGAAATTATTTTACTGGATTTGTGTTCATCTAGCTACTTCCATTCACAATCTCCATTTTCTAAATACATTGGGCTTAACAGGTGTCCTTTGGGTCGGAGTTAAGTAATCGTGGCCCTACCTTTGACATGGATTTGTCAGATTTTTGGGATGGAGAACAACCAATGTCATATGAGAAGGCGAGAAACTACTTTGCTCAAGATCCGTCCCAGAGGTTCAGAGTTCCTTTGTGCTCCATTCATTTGTTTTGTGCGTAACTTGTATGACGCTAGCTAACATGATTCCTCTCGTAGATGGGCTGCATTTGTTGCAGGGACAATTCTGGTTTTGATGAAAGAATTAGGCATACGCTTTGAGAACAGTATTAGCATGCTGGTACCTCCTATTTATTTAATTGAAAGTGTATTATGATGTAACTGTACAACACACTGCATACTGCATTATCACTTCCCCTTATCAAATATTTTTTTGGACTAATAGTTCAGACATAATTAGTTTGGCTTTTTATGCATTAATAGAAATGATTAGCTATGTGTTTGGCCTTATTTGTGGAGTAAAACTTAAGTAGAACACTGCCTAGTTACTTTGGGATACGAAGCTCAATTCTCTATTGCTTGAGAAACTCTTAGTTCTTTGTGAAATCTGGTTGCCAACCTGTTTTGTTGGCTCCTGGTGTGATTTGTCTTGTAGAATCATCTAACTGAAGCTAAATTTCTGCCAATTTTGATGCTTTTAGGCCATCTGCTGCAGATTTGGAAGGGCAATCATAAATTGAATCATATGGTGTTTGGTTAAAATTTAGGATGGCTAGCATTTGCATTCTTATGGCTTAGTCTTCTGAGGGGTGGATTTTAAACTAATTAACTTTTTGGTTCTTTTTCCTGTTTCCTTTACCTCCGTCCTTCAGTAGTTAAAGCCTTCATTAGGAACCATAGCTGCCATCAAATTCCATTGACTCACTAGACTGTGAAATTTTGTGGCAATTCTGAATGACAACATACACACAAACAGTTTTCCTTTTTGACCTCAGTGCCCATTTATGCTGTCAAAATTTTGCATGACAATATAGAAATGGATTCCTTTTTGACCTCAGAACCCATTTATGCTGTCAAAATTTCCAAAAACTAACCCCTTTGCCATGAGCCATCCATAGTAACACATTCTTCTAAATGTTTTCTACCTATTTCCTGGTTTTATTCAGTCCAAAAGTATCTGATGAAAGGAATGATATGCTGACCAGAGCATGGCGTATGATGTAGATTGAACTGCATGGACTACCTTCTTTAAGTTCTTGTTTTCTCATTGGTTGAAAGCAAAATCTAATGAGGCCGTTTAGATTGAGGTGATCAATAGGTGGTGCAGAGGGTGGGCTTGAGGGGGCAGGGAGGTGCGGTGGGGGGAGAGGGAGAGAGAAAGAGAGGATTAGAGTCGAGAAGGTTGAAGAGAGGCAGTAGGAGGATACTGGTTAGGATTTGTTGTGTTTTTAGTTTTTAGAAGTTTATTATTACTAGTATTAGTATGATAATTTTTTCTGTGAACTTAAGATTTCAGATTTGAAATAAATTCGATAACCAAATGATGGGACAGTGTTGAAAAACTCACGGGTGGTGTGAAATATATCTACTGATTCATTTCCTCTCCTAGTTTCTGAATCACGTGGTATAACACTTTTGATATCGATTCTGGAGTGTCGAAACCCCTTAGGTAAACAGGTCCTTCAACTTGCTGACTCATTTAACTGTTGCTCAGTTGAATTTTCTTTCTTTGTTAACGTTTATGTTGGATACTATTTCTTAACTTGTTGCTCACCTCACTATTACATGTTTCGGCATCAGGTGGTGAAACTTCAAAATGGCACATGCACAGGCACTCATAGATAGAAAACCTACAAATGAACTTCTACTAAGTTTAATCTACTTTTTGAACTTCGACTAAGTTTAATCTACATTTTGCATCCATATTTCTGTCATGCTCCTTGGCCAAATACATAATGCTTTAACATTCCTTGATGTAGTTGACATGTAAAATATTAATTTAGCCAGGCACGACTTCAAGCAATTTTCCTGTGCACCTCCTTTTCCTCTGACAAAGAGAGACTGAAAAAACAATGTCCATTTTATTGAGACTCTGGCTTCTTTAAATATGTGATGCAATTCTTCTCTCTTGGTCACTTGTAGGTTTCTTCTGCTGTCCCAGAAGGCAAAGGTGTCTCTTCTTCTGCAGCTATTGAAGTTGCCAGCATGTCTGCAATAGCTGCTGTTCATGGTAACTATATTCTTTTACTTCTCATATTCTACCCTTTGCTGTATTATGGTGCTCTGATATTAGTTTGTCATTTTCTAAAATGGAACATATTCAGATGTAGCATATTTAGTGGTGTTTCATAGTTTGTTAATGCTTTAAGAAAAACGTATGTGTATTACACCTATTCTTAATATTGTAATTTTAACCTGGATAATGATCCTTGATGATTTCTTCAGATAGGATGAAGCTAACATTGTACGAAAGAATTCATGCTGCAATTACCTTCTTAAATTCTATGTGTTTATTGTGGCTTTAAAATTAATAAGAGATGTCAGGTTTGAAGATGCCCTACTGGGTTTTTATTTCCATTTGTAGTTTTTTAATCTTTTTCCCTTTTGTAAAAACAGGCTGGAATCTTGACCCTTTCTTACCAAAAAGAAGAAAAAAATGGAATGCTAGATATTTGATACAGATTCTGATTTCAGAAGCTAAAAATACAAAATCATGTGTGAAACCGGCAAGGTTTTTGTAGTGTAAACATCCTTTTAGGCGAAGATATTTTTACCAGCATCATTCTCTGGATTTTTTTTCCCTGCAACTGGATTTGCAAGTTTTTGCATGATAATTTAATATCAAACTAGTGCAGGAAGCACATTCCAGCGATTGCACCAGTTAGGGGGTGGTGTGAATGGTGAAGAATTAAGGTGTAGCCCCTGATTTCTGGGGGACAAAGGGGAACCAGTCGCAGAGGAGGGGTCTGGAGGTGCAATTTGGGGATGAGGGAACTGGAAGGAGGATGGCAGGTGAGTTCTGTGGGGATGGGAAATGGAATAAAGGGGAAGGAGGGAGCTCACGGGTGAAACTGAGAAGTTTTCATTGGGGATTGAGTGGAAGAAAAGCGATTAGTGGGAGAGAGGGAAAAAGGAAAAGGTCATCTTTTTCGTTGCTACCATTTTATGAGAGGAAAAAACTAAAAAAATTGTTATCAAAATGTCCTTAAAAATGCTTGGCTATGGTGGATAATTAAGCATTATTGCATGATGGGATTTATTTTAAATTATTTCTCTGAAGCTATTATTGCATGATGGGATTTATGTTACAGAGAGCTCTAAATTCTCTGATTCATACTGGAGTTTACAGCCGCAAGTGTTTTGCTTTTACGAGATTATTTGTTTACTTGAGTAAAAGCTAAAACCTAAGCGTTGAGTGTATTGTCTAAGCTGAATAGATCATATCTGGATGATGATCTCGAATTTAATTGAACTGGAAAAGTAAATTCTAATCAGTTTCCCTCTAGTCAGTCACCTGGAAAGCATTGTTCCTTGTGCATACATGCTTTGCTTTAGTTATTGTGATCTATGTTTTGCAGGACTGAAACTACCCCCGAGAGAGCTTGCTTTACTCTGCCAAAAGGTTGGATGGTGGCGTGACCTTTTCATGGAAATAATTCTTCTTACTTTAAGCGTTTTATCAATTGGTTGCACTTTCTTACATTTTTCTTTTACATATTCTCACAGGTAGAGAATCATGTGGTTGGAGCTCCATGTGGTGTGATGGACCAGATGACTTCTGCATGTGGTGAATCTAACAAACTTCTTGCAATGGTTTGCCAGGTATTTTTCATTGTTGTTTGGGCAACACAAGTACTCTGAATAATTGTTAAAGCAAAACTTTTCTCAAGTTTATGGTTGTTAACTCATGCAGCCTGCCGAGGTATTGGGTCTTGTGGATATACCTAGTCATATAAGATTCTGGGGAATTGATTCAGGAATACGGCACAGGTAATACAATCTTCACGGTATATTTACTTGATTTCTTTGCAGTTGTGAATAGTTATACATTCTCTTGAATGATTGGGTTTTTGGGAATTATTTAAAGACCAAGTTTTGGAAAATTTCCCTCTCAAAATTTATATTACATTTCCATGTTTGAGCTATGAGCAGGTGCAGACAGCTCCTTTCCCGGTACTGCCATGCATTGTCATTTATACGAAAAAGGATTCTTGATGATAATTATATGCAAAAGCTAGTGCTCTTTAGCCCAGCAAGTGTAGCCCCTCTTTTCATGTCTGCATGTTGCATGGCTCTTATTTAAGAGATTTCTGAATTCTTTGGCTACTTCTCAACCGTTCACACTATGGTACACGTGAAGCAGGGTATCTGTCGAAAGGGAAATTTGGTTTGTTACAGCAGCTGTTTTGACATGAAAGTTGCTCAATTTTTCAGAACCAAAGGATTTGAATTGAAATATCTAAAGTTCGAAACATTTTGCAGGCTGCATAAGTTCAAACTCCATTTCTTTCATTGCATATACTGAAATTATGAGACATTTAACTTGGTCAGGCTTGAACTTTAAGCAGAGATTAGACCTCTTTGCAAATTCAGAAGCAAATGTAATCCATTTTGCAATATTAATTTCTTGGTTATAACTTTCCCTGAACTGACTGAAGTAACTAATTTCAAAAGAAGTGTGAAAGGATAACAAATAAATTACTTGAGACTATAATGGCCTAAATGAATACTGGTTGAAGTCTTAATGCTCGATGTCCAAGTCACTTCTAGTATACGAGTTGTATAAACCATTCAAACAAGACTTGTGAGGCTGATTTTGGAGAAAGTGGGAATTATCATGTCCCCCTGTCATAGCTCTAGTTTCCTCTTAATTATCCAAATAATCAGTCAAAGAGGGACCACCACTGGGTTGTGTAGGATTTTAAAGGTGTTTTCATATAAGGTTCTACAACTGAATGATGTTCCACATGGCAGCAGTTATGCCCTATGGTTGCAGTTGTTGGCCAGTTCTTACCTAAAATGTAATGGCCTGGAATTGCAATTAGTTGTAACTTCGTGGAGCGTCAACTGCTTGTACAAATGCTTACTCCCAAGTTTTAGCATATGTTCCAAAATGCTTGCAGTTGTAACCTGAACCAATGCAGTACTAGGTTCTTTACTAGTCGAACTTATTCTCTCATGCACAAATATGGGTATATCTGATGAATTGATAATGGTAAATTATAATCATGTAATTGTTGCTTGAAGTCCTTGGTTAACTTGAAGCATTCACCAGGATTGTGTTACCCTAAACTATTTCTGTAATTTTATGGGCTATGGTACTCAGGTGGTTCATGTCAGGTATGTTGCGCATCATTGAGGTCATTTTGTCTATTCCTTATAATATCAGTAAATTTTTTGTCTAACTGAAAGTTTTTTGTAGTGTGAGTAAGCTGAATATTAAACTCTCTCTCTCTCTCTCCCCATGTGCGTATCTGCATTTCAAGTATAAATAAGAAGACTGGAAACAGAAATTGGAAAGCAAAATAAAGAGTAAGCTGGCTGTTTTTGCAGTGTTGGAGGCACAGACTATGGATCTGTTAGAGTTGGGGCCTTCATGGGTCGAAGGATCATTAAGTATATTGCATCAACATTGCTGTCACAGTCACTGTCTGCTAATGGGATGACCCCTGATGATGTCGAAGAAGATGGTGTCGAGCTACTTGAATCTGAGGCTTTGCTAGATTATCTGTGCAACCTCTCACCACACAGGTGAAATATCAACCTGTTTCCACATCTACAGATGATTCAAGAATATGAGTATCATTGCTGCATCTTTACACCCTTGTTTCAAATTTAATGCTTTATCCAATTTAAAACTCTCTCTCTCCCCCCCCCCCCACAACCCTCCCCCCCTTTACATTGCTTTCTTTTGCTTTGATAAAAGGAGTTTTTTGAATGTGGGGAGAAGGCCTTGTATTTGAGCAATGCAACTAGGTATTGTATAAAACATAAATTGGCCGACTCTAGGACTGCAGAGTTTAATGTGGTACTGGAGCAGGCTTAAAACTGGACTTAAGACGTCAGTGATCTTTGCCATCAGAAGGAACGTAAAACCCACATGTAAAGGTCATTGTAATGGTGCCTGAGTAGAGGAAAATGAACTCACTTCCGTCACCTAAGGGCCCTTGTCATGTTCACGTTGAAAGTAAAATCAGGATGCGTATGAAACTCCCCTTAGTTGTCCATAATTATGGGCTAATTTTCATATTGTATGGCTTTATTTTGGAATGTATAGCCAGAGGCATTAACCTCTCTCTCTCTCTCACAAACCCCCCCCCCCCAACCCCAAACGTGCCCTGCTAGTTGTCCTTACATCCTAGTGTGTCTTCCTGATATACAAACTCCAGCTGTCTAGCGACCTTAGTAACCTCACTGGTCAAGTCGTATGTCCCTGGTGTCTGTTTCCAATGGATTCCGTTTTGAATGTCAAAATTATTGATTCTGATGATCAAGGAAATTGCCTCCACCTCCACCAAATTTTCGACTAACTTGAAAATTGTTGACCATTAATTTTTATAATCTTGAGAAACTTAAAAAGTTGACTCAAACTTCAAACCAACTTGAACCGAGAAAAAGTACAAAAGGACGCACCCTCAGTTTTTGGACTTTTCTTCTAAGAGAAACATAAATCAAACAATTCCTCAGCGTGTCCTTCTGTGTAAATCATTGACTGAAGGCATTCTAAAACTCCAGGGCCACCTCCATTCACCAGACAAGCACCGGAATTAGGTGAAGGATGGTTGAGTGTGGTGATCAATTTATGAAAGGAGGAGATTTGGAGGTTCTTTTTATTCCGTCTTGATAGGTGGCCTTCCAGTCTTTAACTTTGTTTTTTTTTCATAAATTTCTTTGGGCTAAAACAAACAATATTTTTGTCAAGCGAACACCTGAATAATGTGAAAGGCCAAATGAATTCAGGAATGGTTTATTCCTGTTTTTGGGTTTTCCATTCCTAAAAAAATGGGCCAGTTGTGGAAGTAATGATTTTTAGCTCTGCCTAATTTTGCTTCCAGTTTTTTATCGTTTGCTTCTATTAGTTTTTTGTGATCTTTACTGTTCTTTCTGCTTCTTCAGGTATGAAGCTCTTTACTCAAAGGTACTGCCGGAAACCTTGCTTGGTGAGACATTTGTGGAGAAATATGCCGACCATAATGATCCGGTCACAGTAATAGATATGAAACGCAATTATGGACTTAGAGCAGCAGCAAGACATCCTATTTATGAAAACTTCCGTGTGAAGGTTAGTGTTCTAGAAATTTAGAAATACTCTTGTTCTGCTCCATGGACTTACAAACTATATATACATTGAATTTGGCTTTCAGATTGCTTCAAAACCTTTATACCAGAACATACCAATATAAGAGCAACAGCATGAGGCTACAAGAAAAGCACTAAACAAAATATGTACAAAAAGTTTCTATGCTAGATATTTTTTTTCCCTGTAAGGAGAATCTCAGTGAGAAATCAACAGCAACATAAGAGCATATAGGAAAAGAGGATGACAAAGCACTTTCCTGTCTGGGATCTAAGGATTTCTAAATGCTTTGAGACTATGTTGTAGTCAGAAGAAAAGCAGGATAAAGACACTAAGTCTGAGAATGCTGCAGCATAAATTGGGGACCTCAGTTAGGTCCATGGCAGCTCCATCTATGTATATTATATGAAATAACCAAAAAAAGATTACCGGCATTTACTAAAACATGCTTATCCTCATTAAGCAATATAGATTTGAAACAAATTGGTTGGAACTGGCGCCCAGTAATTTTATTTGGTATCAGAAAAGCAAGAATATTAGCTTAGAAAGTCAAACGGGATTTGACTGCATTTCATTTGTGAATGTATGTATTTTGTCCTTGACCGTTCAAGCAAACCAATGAAGATGTTTTATGAGAGTTAAACTGTTGGGCAATCTTTATAACAAAGTATTTGGATTTTCTGAAGCGTTTCCTGCCTTTGTTTGTTTTCTTCCAAACCAATTCGATGTCATTTAGCCCTTATTGGAAGGAATCAATAGAATGTTACTTACCGTAGTTGGTCTGACCGTCCGAGAGTGCTTTAATCTGTACCCATACAGTCTATATTTCAATATGTTGTTGATTATTACAAATGCTTTATCCTTATATGTTCTGAATCATGTTAATAATTGTCTTTAAGCTACACGATTTCAGTTTATAATTATATTTTAATATTGGCGTTGGGGTGGGGGGGTGGATGGGTTGGGCACTTGGGTGGTACGGGAGGAGGGAGTGTAAGTGAGAGGTCCCAGGTTTGAGACCTCCACTTACAAAAAAAAAATAATAATAAATTCAATGTAGATTTGATTTCTATAAGTTTATGGGCTTACTATATCGTGCATCAAACTTGAGTATTATACATTCAAGAGTGATTGCTATAAAACTTGACTGATGACAAAAGCAAGGAACTATTTTGTTCCAGCAGTGTTTGCAGCATCTTTTGTGCAATTTTAGTAACTATAGAATGTGTTTCATAACAGGCATTTTTGTGAACCATACAAGGTGTAAAGAATTTTTTCAGTCCAAAATGACTTTTGACTAGAGATGGGCTAGTCAGTTTATCGTTGCTAGTACGATACAATTGATTTTGGCTGAAACAATCGAATATAATTGTAACTGCTATCACCTTGGTTGAGATTAGCACTTTGTATGCAAGTATACCAATGCATACATTACAATATTTTGAATCCACAATTACTTGGGTAACTTGATATGCAGGCTTTTAAAGCTCTATTAACATCTGCAACTTCAGATGATCAACTCACAGCTCTTGGCGAACTCATGTATCAGGTATTTTTCGTGTTTCACATATATGCAAATTCTATTTGTCAAATGAAGTGGCTTTTTTCCCCATTGCAATTTGCTTTGGTTAGAGGCTATAATATGACAGATTCTTCTGAATTACAGTGTAGTGACTCAGCCTTCACACTGACAAAAAAGTAACTCATCATCCATAACTTTAACCAACCTAAGGAAGATTTGTAAGCTTTTCAATTGTAGCCAAAATCTTACCACAAATTGTTCTCACCGGGGAGCAATTTTAACAAAAATTTATTTTGATTCACCTCTTAGTGGCAATTCAGTTACCTTGGTATGTGTCATCAATATTCCAGCAACTTGTAGTCAAATGTTTCTTTGGAATTTCAAGTTGAAAGGAACCCTTCTTATTTGGCGAATCATTTCAAGTACAAAATCAGGAATATGTTCTTAATTGTTTTATATTGTGTATTAATTTGTTTTGCAGTGCCACTACAGTTACAGCGCCTGTGAACTTGGCTCAGATGGGACAGATAGGCTTGTCCAGTTAGTGCAAGAAATGCAGCACAGTAAAATGTCAAAATCTGTTGAAGGAACTCTATATGGTGCAAAAATTACTGGAGGTGGATCTGGTGGAACAGTTTGCGTCGTTGGGCGGAATTGTATACGAAGTAGTGAACAGATTTTTGAGGTAACCTCACTACCAGTTTATTTTTTATTTTGATTTTTTCAAGTGAATAAAGAATATTGAATGCATCCTTGAATTTCTAACTACACTTGGCTTCTCAATTCAAAAGGAATGGAAAAGGTTTGGTTTCATGTCCACTAACGTAAACAGCGACATGTTCTTCAAATCATATTCAGCATTACATAGTGGCGAGGGACTGGGTAATTTCATGGCTGTTTAATATAGCAGTATGTTCCTTTTTTCCCCCAGTTCTCCCTTTTTCTTGCGTCTCCTCCTAAGAATGGTGAGGTTTTATATGTCAAGTCTACTTTCTTGGGATGGAGTATTGCATGACAGGAATGCTAATTCTAGGAATATGCCCTTTCTTTCTCGTGTATGGACTGTTATGCTGAAGATGCTTCGATACCACATGATATTAATAGGGTTTTCTGACTTTGATTTGTTTGCAGATTCAGCAGAAATACAAGAGTGCCACGGGATATCTGCCAATAATTTTTGAAGGCTCATCACCAGGGGCAGGGAAATTTGGACACTTGAGAATTCGCCGCCGCAATGCTTCCAACAAAAATTGATGTATACTGAGGGAAAATATAAAGACTGATCGGGGAAAATACCCAACAGCACAGTAAATATTATATGTTGGATGACATTAGGGTGCAACTGGCTAAAGTGCCCAATATGCCTTTGCTAGGAAATATAATTAGGACATTTCTTAATTAGACAAAAATGTGGTGTACCTTTAATATGTCCAGTGGATGTGACATATAGTTTATTTAAATCATGATGTCCTTGTACTGCAGTTTGAAGCATCAAAGCCTTGCCCTGACATGTGTTGTTTTGAACAGTTACAACTCTGCAAGTAAGCCAGAGATTATCAATGAAATCTGAGTATAAATCCAAGCAGGGCTCATGGAGAACTATATGCATATTTGCTTGCCTATGAAGAGAGTGTTCTTCTGCATTTTCCAGCAAATGGTCAAGGGCAGCACCACTACTTACAGCCTAAATTGCACTTGACAGGCAATGAAGAATGACAGCAGTATGCTTGGATCCTGCACCACGTATAAAGGAAATCCATATCACTACATCAAGAATGACAATATTACAAACTCTATAGGCAAGGGGTGGAATAATCACCCTGATGATTCACTAGGGACTTCTCATGAGTTATGCGGAGCTTAACCAAAACTAAATCTTGAATTTATACACTCTTTGTTGGTTTCCAGAATATCCTATATTATTATTTGTAAAATATGCAATCCTTTTTCATTGCAGGGTCCCATCACCTGTTGGTTTGTAAAATCTATTAGGTGGTACGTATACATGAATTACCTATTGTACAAAACAATTCTCACAACACTTTATATTTCAAAGTGGACAAATTGCCAATATGTCAATATAGTAAACATTTGTATATTGTTATATGCTTTTGAGTAAGCAAAGTGGCCGCCTTTATTTAAAAGTTCTTGTCGAGATGTCCAAAAGGCCTTCTTGGCCATGTCTCTATACTAATGTTTTCTTAATATATATTTAGATGAATTGCTTTTAAAAATTTTAACTAAATCAACACTAATTTTAAGTTTCATACCCAAAAAATCTCCTCTACCATGACACAGACAAGTTATTGGACCAACTGGGCTGATTTCAGAGTATGACTTCGTTGAAAATCAATCCAGCAATTATAGTAGTCTTGATCACTTGAACTGTACTAATCGACTACACAGACAAGATTCTTCGGTGCTGTGAAATTAATGAATAACCTATTTTAGTTGTACTAACTATAGTTTGTACTACGGTTTCAAAATCAAGGGGAAACAAATGAGGTTTCCAGAAGAAAATTTTTGTACAACTGATGCACTAGAATATCGAATGTATACTTAGGAGGTAACTTGGTGCTAAAGTGATGCCTCTATCATGCAATGTGGCTCAATGTGAATATAATCTGTAGGAATTTGTCTAGGTGACTCCTGCTCCTTTTTTTTTTTTTTTTTTTCCTTTCTTTTTGTTGGTTAATAGGTTTGGGGAAAAGGATTGTTTGGAGGAGATGACATTAGCAATGACTTTTAAAATTTACAATATATGAGACAAGATAAAAATCACTTGAGCAGAGTATGTTCTATGCGGCCATAAACCTGTATGACCTGTTTGTTCTATTTGTTAAGTCTGAAGGAAGATTTCATAGTCATAAAATTTAGTCTTGATCTCTACTAAAACAGTTATTAGATGATTATCTAATGTTATATTCATTTTCCTTTCAGCTTTTGGCGGTCAGCTAGTTCAACTTTTGGTGGCTTTTTTATTTGATTATTTGATATAATCATATAATGAATGATGCTAAACAAGGTTAGAATAAGAAGGCGAAAAGTGGGTTTTGCTTAGTTTTTGAGTTATTGACATTGACAAATTACTCCACAGTTATTGTAGTTTCTTGGTAATCTTTGGGAGCCACTAAACTGTCGCAGACGTTGGATGGTTTTGTCCATGCAGGATCAAGTGCAGATACTTCATGAAGAATTTAGATTCTTGAGAACCATTTTTAGGCATCAACTAGAGAAGTTGGATAAGCTACACAAAAAAAAATTGAAGAAATATTTAACAGCATCTGCTTGTAGGATAAAATTGAGAACCTTGCTAAAAAAGAAAGTAATAATAAACAGAGAAACTAAATGACTCTGATACCATGTTGTTTTCAAATTTGTACTCCTTAGGTGTATCAAGTTTAAGTATCACAACAGAAGTAAATTTCTCTCAACTTCATATCGCTATCAAGTACTTGAGATCAGTCGCCACCATCCAGACGGTGCAAGTTTTGAATTGTAAGGGGCAAAGGTTAATCTTTTTCCGTTTGGTTTGATCTTCTCATTTGTAATTCCTGAACTATATATAGGACAGAAATTGAACTGGTAATTATGTTCATTTTGTAGATTGTAGGACCTATTGTTTTCCAAGTGGACTCCAAATCTGTACTTGATCCGGCAAAGGGGCAGTCACAATCCTGATTTTGAAGATGCTATCTTCAGTCCAAACTATGCTTTGTGGCTCTTGCAATGTGAACAAGTTTGTATCATGATAATAGAAGGATTAATCAAGTTACGCATGTCAGAGTTCTATTTTCTACCTCTAACTAGAATTTTGTTCGTGCTTTAGCACGATCTTTTTTTTTATTGTGAATTTATACAAATATAAATAATTTAAATATACAAATTAACAACATTTCTACTTGTTCATTCATACTAATTTTAAAAAATTAATGTATTTTAAATGTTCAATTATTTATTAATTTTTAAAAAAAATTTATTTATTGTGAATTTATACAAATACCAATAATTTAAATGTAAAAATTAACAATAGTTCTACATGTGCATTCATATTAATTTTAAAAAATTAACATATATTAAATGTTCAATTATTTACTAATTTTTAAAAATTTGTTTACATACTTTTACTATAATATGATAGTGTACATCAAATAATGTACCCCATCTAAAAAACTTGGTAGATATTCTTTTTTTTTTAAATATTCTTTTAGATAATTCAAATTTTTATAATGACCATTAACCTAGAACTATATATTCATATTTAATTAAGTAGAAAAAGATCTAGCAATCCATTTTTCTTCATCAATAAATATTTAGTTTTCAATAATATTGATAAATCTATCAGTGTAACACTTAATTCTTTTTTACACTAAGTTAATTCAAAATTAAGAGAAAAGATGATGAATAATTTGAATACTAATCAATGATATAGTGGTGAAAGAAAGTAATTTATGGGATACGTAAGATTTCAATATTTGTGATTTAAAAAGGTTTACTATACTTCTACGTAATAATTTGGTAAAAAGCAGGTATCATTAAGATAAGATTACATTGGTGAAAGGAAATAATTTATGGGAATGTAAGATTTCAATAATTGTGATTTAAAAAGGTTTTACTATACTTGTATGTAATAATTTGATAGAAAGCAAATATCATTAAGATACGATTAGTTATTTTTTAAAGCAAATTTAAAATTAAAGATAATTTTTAAACATATAATATAATCATTGTAATAATTTGATAGAAAGCAGCTACCATTAAGATAAGATTAGTTATTTTTTAAAATTATTTTAAAATTAGAGATAATTTTTAAACACATAATATAATCCAAATAAGATATATATATATATATATATATATATATATATGTATATGTATATATCTAATAACTATAATATAAGTTCCAATTGCTTCTTACTATAACACTTCCACTTGCTGCCACGTGGCACCTTGAGAGTTAAAGTTTGCATTCTTTTTTCTCGCTTAACATTGGTTCTCTTATTGTCGGAAGTTCGTTGGTTGCAACGCTGAGCGTACCTATTAGTCCTGAAGTATCGAGAGAGAAAAGGAATGACCAATTAGATGCTACGAAGGAAAATGGAATTGTTTATTATGGGTTAATTTATTTATTTTTACTACCGATTTGTGCGTTGGTTTGTGGATGTAAAAATTAAATAGAAACCTAAATAGTTCTAAATGTAAATGAAAGGTTATCTATTTAAAAAGAAATATGAGTGTATCATTGTGAGAATTTGTACTTTAATTTTTCACAGCTAATTTTAACATCACCAATAAATGCCAAGTAATATTTTACCTTAACCAATAAAGTTTTTGCAAAGCATTTTTCTTTAGTGTTTAATTATTTCGAAAAGGCCAGTGTACCTGATTTCTTGTGGTTTAGCAAAGTTATCGTAACATTATAATTCAAAATGAATAACATTTTTATTTCTTGTTTTTTATTTATTGTGTATTAAATCATTCAAAATGAATACCATTTTTCTTTATTGTTTAGTTATTTCAAAAAGGCCAATGTAGTTGTTTTTTAGGGGTTTAGCAAGGTCATCCTGTATTGAAAAAAAATTCCTACAATCGTTGTAATTCATAATGAATAGCTATTTTTTTATTGTTTATTTTTTTCAGCTAAAAATTACAAAAATTAATTGAGAACTATTTCATGCCAATATATATTTTGCAAGTAATAGATTTATGAATATTTATTTTTACTATTGATTTGTGCACTGGTTTGTGCATGTAAAAATTAAATAGAGACCTTAGTAGCTCTGAATGTAAATGGAAGGTTGTCTATTTAAAAAGAAACATGAGTGTATCATTGTGACAATTTGTACTTTAATTTTTTGCCCCTAATTTTAACATCATTAATAAATGTCAAGTAATATTTTGCCTTAACCAATAAAGCTTTTTTTAAGCATTTTTCTTTATTATTTAATTATTTTGAAAAACCCAGTGAACTTGTTTTTTTGGAGTTTAGCAAAGTCATCATATATTGAAAAAAATTCTACTATCATTGTAATTCAGAATGAATAACAATTTTTTTATTTTATTTTTTTGCGAAAAAAAAGAAAATTAATTGAAATCTATTTCATACCAATATATATTCTGCAAGTAATAAATTGAGAGTGTCACTTCAGATAAATGTGCGAACGTTACACATTTAACTATAAAAATAAGGTTAAATATTTCGAATTCAATCTCATTTATCTTGTGTAGACTCTCTAAATTATTTCAGTTCTTAATGAAAACAGAATACAAAATTTATACTTTTTTCAAAATGTGGTCTTAAAATAATTGTGATAGTTTTAGTCAATCTCTTACCGTTTGATGTGAGGTGAAACAATCTACTAACTTACTTTGGTCAAATGCAAGGTAATTGAGAGTAGTTGAAAGTACGCGACTGTTTTACTCCATCTATCAACTTGCTATGAACAGATGTTGGCTACTAACTTCAAAATTTGGCGGTCCTCTATAAAAATTTCAACCATTTGATCATCTGTGTTTTGTACTTTTATCATATATTGACCATTAGATTTGAGTGAACATCTATGAAGTAGTTTACTTACCCTTCATGTCTACTTTTTAATAGTAAACAGCGTGACTATGTGTGACAGACGAGGTTGAGGTTTACAAGGCTTGCTTGTCTTTGTTTCTTCTCATTATGCTGTGATTGCTACTCATTCTAGTGAAACAAAACACAAAATGCTCTCAGTTGCTTCTTTTCTTATTGCTTGGTGAGTTTTTATCTGCATTAAATTTCCTAACATGTAATATGTTTCTTTTCGCATGAATGTTCAACACTTGCCTTTCGTAACTTTTACCATATTATCATGTAGCTTAGTTTCTTCTTCTTGCTATCTATTATGTTTGTCATGCAGCTTTCATTTTGTCTCTTTAGTATTTTACTCGTTGTCTCTACCACTACTTATTTCACCAGCATATGATATTAGTGAAACTTAATCTGACAGTGTAAATCGTTAAAACTACAGTAAAGCTGCAAGCCACTTTGTTGCAGTATTGAAGCTATATCTCTATTATTTTCCTTTATTGTTAGTTTATCTTTTTCCCTTTTTGCTTGCATTTTTGTTTCTTTATTAAAGATATTCAGTCATTTTTGTATGTTTTGTCTGTTATATACTTTCATTGATCATCTTCACATAAGCTTTTGTTGCCTGAACTTTCAACATATAAAGAAACAGAAAGCCAATCTATAAAGCTACTATATCTGATAAGTTAATTTATCATCAGGCAATATCTTCTGCTTTTGATTCTTCAGTTCCACAATTGATGGATCAAACCTGTAAGGTTATTGAACCACATTCATGTGGTTATTCAGTAAGAACAACTGATGTTAGCTATCTTAGCAATCATTAGCATGCTGCTATGGACATGATGAACAGTAGTTATGTTTGCAGACCAGAACAACAGAGTTCATTGTCTACTGAATATGTCTTTTTATCTGGAGAAAAAAAACTATAGGCGGAAAGCTTATTTGAGATGGAAATAAAAAAAAAAAAAGGTCACTCACATAATATGTAGTTTAGGAAACAAAAAAAAAAAAAAAAAAACAGCTAAGCTTAAGCTATTCTTCATCACAAAAATATAGACAATCTACTCTGCTAGTTGGTACAATTACCAGAAAGTACAGTCTTGTACATACACAATCTATTCATTCTGGCTCTACTACAAATTTCAGTAGAGTTACACTTATAATCCAACCAGCTGCTTCAAGTAGCAATACTTCTATCCTTCTGGATAGAAATCTAGGTAGTACCCTCTACTCTCAAGTAAATTGTCTTTCCGTTTCCATAGATTCTCATGATAGCAATATCTGAACTTCTACATTTGACTTTTAGTAGTCAATAGTAAACCTGTTGAAGAATCAGCTAATCAAAGAATTCCTGGCCAAAATAAAAGAAAACGTCCAGGTTAGCTTTGACCTTTCTTACTGGTTTAAATTTAATACTATTAATAGGCATTTAAATTATTGGTTGTTTCAGCTATTATGTTATGTTTCTAATAGGAAGGACTGCTACGAAAGGAAGAGAATTGTTGGATTTAATAGCTGATACTCCTGACATTTGCCACAGCAGAAAGATTGTCAACACTGTGGTCCTAAAAAGTTTTTCTCAGAAACATCAAACTTTTGCTGTTCTAATGGTGATATTATATTGGCACAGAACAGACATCCTAATATTCTAAGAGAGTTACTGACTTCATCTTCACAAGAAGCAAAAGCATTTAGGTAGATTTTTAGGACTTACAACAATCAATTTGGATTTACATCTTTTGGTATTAAGTGTGGTAAGGATCTGTGTAGACGAAACAATGGAGTCTATACGTTTAGGATTCAAGGACAAGTGATTTGATACCAAGTAATGGTTCAGGCACAAACATGTAGATATACTTTCATTATATTGAAACTGAGGTATCTAATCGTCTTGCTATCTGTCCTAGATTGTCTGAAAGTGTGAAAAAGAAATTAATCACTGTTCTCCAGCATAATTCGCATGCTCGATTCTTTAGGAGTCTATGTCACATTCCTAACCTAGATGGCTACAAAATAATGCTTTGTACACTTCCTGGTTTGGATCGAAGAGTATACAACAAACCAACAGAATCACAGGTTGCAGCATTATGGGTAGAAGGTGAAGAAAATGGTGAGAATAGCCATTGTAACATACAAGTGTATACTTGTGGTGGCTCTCCACGCAATATTGAGTATTATTATGGCTGCTATGATCCATTAGAGTACCCTTTAATGTTTTCATTTGGAGAGCTTGGTTGGTATCAAGGAATTCCAAAGAAATGACTAAAAGGAAGAAACACAAAAGAAAGAAGGAAAAAAGAGTCAGTTAAAATTATTGCACCAGCAAGTGCATTAAGTGCTAATGATCTACTCTACAATGAAGAAATTGGTCAATCAAAACTAAAATTTAGTTTGTGTAGTATTAGAAGTATAGAATTTTTAGTCATTCTAAACAGTTATATAGTGTCACCTTATAGCAATGCATAGATTGGAAGAGGATCCAGCATTTGTTTCATTGAGGGAATATTACGCGTACAAGATTCAGATTAGAGATTCATCCGAATCTCTGATTCTGCATTTTTGTAGATTATTCCAGCAATATGTGGTTGATGGCTATGTGAAGATTGAGAAACAAAGACTTGACTTTTTCAGGTCACAACAGGAAGAAATCAGCAGAGAATTTTTGAATGGCATAATTGATGCAGTGGCTACTGGAGAAACTCGAGAGTCAAATATTGGCTAGCGAGTTATATTGCCGCCAAGTTTCATAGGAGGTCCTAGAAATATGCGTCGCAGATACATGGACGCAATGACTTTGGTGCAAAAATTTGGAAAGCCGGATCTATTTGAGACCTGTAATCCTAATTGGCCAGAAATAAATGAGCATTTGATTCCCACAGATGAAACATAGAGTCGGCCAGATTTAATTTCGAGAGTCTTTCATGCTAAGTTAGAAAAGTTGAAAGATGAACTTTTGAAAAAACACATTTTTGGTGAGATTGCTGCTTATACATATGTAATTGAATATCAAAAGCAAGGTATGCCTCATGTACATTTCCTTTTGATTCTCAAATCTAAGTACAAGCTATATACTATAGATGAATATGACAAGATAGTTTGTGCTGAGATACCCGACAAGCAAAAATTCCCACATCTCTATAAAATGGTCGTTAGACATATGCTTCATGGTCCTTATGGTTTAGCAAATCCACAAAATACTTGCTTGAAAAAAATGGAATCTTTAAAAACTCTTGCCCAAAAGAGTTCTACGACGCAACTATTCAAATAGCTGATACATATTTAAAGTATAGACAAAGAGTTAATGGCATTAAGGTTGAAGTGAGGAATGTATGGCTCGATAATCGCTGGGTTGTCCCTTATAACTCATATCTGCTTGCAAAAATTGACTGCCATAGCAATGTTGAGATATGCTCGACAGTAAAGGCAGTCAAATATATATACAAGTACATATGTAAGGGACATGGCTGAACCAGTTTTTGAGTTATTGCTGATAGTTCACATTGTGAGATTGATGAAATCAAGCAGTACATCTCAGCAAGATGGATATCTCCTCCAAAGGCTACTTAGAGAATCTGTAGATTTCCAACTAGCGAAATAAAGCCAGTCGTTATCCTCTTGCAGTTGCATCTGGAAAACTAGCAACCAATGAGTTTCAAGAAGAATACTGACTTGTGTAATGTTCTCAATAATACTCAATTGAGAAGAACAATGTTAACTAAATTCTTTTGCATGAACATAATAAACAAGGAAGCTCAGGACCTAAATTGCACCTATGTGCAATTTCCAGAATATTTTGTTTGGAAACCAAGCAAAAGAGTGTGAAAATTTCGTGAACAGAGAGATTCTATACGTAGAATAGTTGCTGCGCATCCCGGTGAAGGTAAAAGATATTATTTGAGACTGTTGTTAACCAAAGTCAGATGTCTAACCTCATTTGCAAATCTCAAAACTTTTGGTGGAGTTCAAGTGCAGACTTTCCATGAAGTAGCACTATTGAGGGGATTATTGAAGCATGATAATAGCCAGAAACTTTGTTTGCAAGAAGCTTCTCACTTTCATATGCCATATGAAATGAGGAAATTGTTTGCAACTCTGCCGGTTTATTCATGCCCCAATGATCCACTAGCATTGTGGACTAAATTTGAAGATCGTATGTCTGAAGACTTTCTTAGATGTAAAACCTTAATAGCAAGCCAAGTTAGGACAAAGGTACTTGATCAAATAAATGACTTTTTACAATCTATGGGGAAAAACATCTCTTCATTCAACTTATGCCCCCATGATTTTTCAATGGATGATATGGAAAGTCGGACAAGAGAGTCAAATGCAGAAAGAAACATAGTTGATGCAGCAGCTAATTTGGATGCTTGTATTTTGTTGAATTAGAAGCAAAAAAAAAAAAAAAAAGCATTTAGTGTCATTTTTGAAAGAGTTTACAGCAACAAAAGTGGTGCTTTCTACATCGATGGTCCAGGAGGTACCGGAAAAACTTTTTTATATCGTGCATTACTGGCAGATATAAGGTCAAAATGTCATATTGCACTCGCCACTGCAACATCTGGCATAGTTGCTTTGATTCTTCCTGGAGGAAGAGCTCACTCACGATTCAAAATCCCAATAGATATTTCTGATGAAGCAACTTGTCGTGCTGGTAAGCAAAGCTCTCTAGCAACTTTGATCAGAGAATCAAAGTTGATCATTTGGGATGAAGCTCCAATGTGTAAACGAGTAGCTATTGAAGCATTGGATGATTTACTTAAAGACATCATGAATTCAAGCGAAATTTTTAGAGGAAAGGCAGTGATTTTTGAGGAGATTTCAGGCAAACGTTACCAATTGTTCGTACTGGAACTAAGGTTGAAACAATTAATGCTTGCTTGAGTTGCAAAAGTTACAGTTAACTGAAAACATGAGAGCAAAACTATATCTATTATTTACGCAATTTCTATTGAAAATAGGAGATGGTTTGGGACAAGTACATAGTGGTGATTTAGTTGTTATACCATCTTCAATTTTGATCAAGTACACCAATGAACCTGATGCACTTCAAAGACTAATAGATGCTGTATATTCTGATATTAACAATATATCAAAAAATACAGTTTTATCTTTGAACAGAGCAATACTCACAACAAAAAATCACTTTGTTGATGAAATCAATGATCTGATGATTGAAAAGTTTCCAGGAGAAAGCATTGAATACAACAGTTTTGATCAAATAATTGACTCAAATCATCAGGCTGAATATGTTGATTTCCTTAGCACATTAAGTCCAAGTGATTTACCTCCTCACAAGTTTGTACTTAAGCCAAATGCACCAATAATTTTGTTACGAAATCTTGATCCAACCGAAGGGCTATGCAATGGAATAAGACTAATTTATAAATCTTTGAGTAAAAATATGATTCATGCACAGATAGCAATCGGTCACTTTGCTGGCAAAGAAGTCTTCATACATAGGATTCCTTTGCAACCTTCAAATAATGAGGAATACCCTGTTCCCTATAAAAGGATTCAGTTTCCTGTTCGATTATGTTTTGCTATGACTATCAACAAATCTCAAGGACAAACACTTGATTTTGTTGCTGTATATTTGAAGAAATCTGCATTCTCACATGAACAATTATATATTGCTTTGCACCATGCAAAAACATCCAATGCTGTGCGAGTTTTGATTAAACCAGAATATTTTAGCTCGCATGATATTGATTGCACAAAAAATATAGTTTATAGAGAAATGTTGGACCAATCTTATTATTTATTTCAAAGTAAATATCCATCTTTACTTGCTGCATTTTTTCTATTATAAAATCTATAAATCTCAAATGAAGATTCATATATGCCCTGACTTTGTTCTGTTGTTATTACTTCAGGACCAGATGAGCAGATGTTTGTTTGAGATACTCAATGTCAATAAACAAACTGGACCATGGACTGTTCTTGTTCAGGTTGTTGAAAGAGGAAAGTACATGTGGCACGCACTGCACCCTACAAGAAGTTTCGTTGATTCTTGTTGACCGACTCTCAGGTATAACATAATATATGATATCTACCTATTTTTTGTTAGTTTAATTACTAGATAACAATGCATGCTATATATCATGAAATAGGGGACAAGAGTATCTGATGTCCTTTACGATACTTGCATCAGACAATTCTACCACATGGTTTGACTATTCAGGAGATATTATGTTTCAAATGCTTCACTGATGGACACTTCTGTCAACTTCAGAATTGATGATTATCTGTTTTCATGGGCTATTAACAATGACCCTTTGATTGAACCTTATGAAGAACCAGTTCCACCAGCATTACCATGTCTATTTGAACTCACTCGGTTTGATGATCTGCATAAATATACAGACACAGAAAATCTACGAAGTAAGTTATCAATACAAATTCAAAATTCTTACCTTATCAGTTATAACAAAGATTGTGAACAATATTGGTTTAGCACCACTAATCATAGCAATGAGAGTTAAAGTGATAACCTTTAACTGTAAGCATTCATTTTTCATACATAATTACAGTTTAGCAATTATTGTCATACATATACTACCTTTTGACTCTGTGCTTTTTTCTTCAGCTCTTTCCTTAACCTCTCAGTTATCGTCTTGTTTCCTTTACAATCTTCCTCTGCCTCTAAAAATGCAGCTTAATCAATGGTGAACAAAAATTTTTCATATAGAACAATCATTTCAAATTTACATAGCATCATACCTCATTAACTCAGTTTTTTTTTTGTTTCATAGAAAAAAAAAACTTAAACCTTAACTACTGTCATATAGCTCTATATATCTGACTTTCTTTTGTTTAGGTTTCTTGATCACAAACAAGAATTGAAACAACTGCTTGAGGCAAAAACACACAAAGATCTTTCCATCTTGCTTCCTCCTCCAAAAGAGGAAGACATTAAAGAGATACGTAATGTACTAGTTTCATTTGATACCGTAAGTTCCATTCATACACATACAGACACACATTTATTAGTTACAGTGATGAGTATACTGATGTTCGTTAAACTGATACTGTTAATTTTGTTAAAATCCTTGAAAATTTATAACACTGAATATTTTTTCACAGCAAAAGACTGCTTGGATACGAGCTGTTACAAGTTACATTCCTGGACAGGCAAAGTGTTGGTTCACAACTTGCATGAATTGTCACAAGAATGTCAATGCTCTAACAGAATGGATTATAACCTGTCCATCATGCAATGAATCCACTCATGTTGAACTAAGGTGACACAATGTCAATAAAAATTACAATAGAGTAGATTATATTACGTATTACATTTTCAAGCTTTGCTATTAAACTAACTGCAGAATACTTCAGATGCCGTATTGGAATTAAGCTAAATTACTAGACTAGAAGCATGAACTGCACTATCTATACTCCTGATGCAGAAAAGCTGATTCCTCATACTGTCGTTCAACGTCAAGATGCATACCAAAGTGTAAGTTTAGAAAGGTTTAAATTGTACAACTACATAGACTGCATGACCAATTTTTTCTCTACAATAGCTACTTTTGCTTTAAGTCAAACCAAGCAAACAGAATAAAAAATTTGAACTCCATCTCTATCATTATGATGAAGGCATTTACTGGTTCAATTTTCATAATTCCTTTTGTATAAATTCCAAAAACAAAATTTGAAATATTATAGTCAATCATTCATTTCTTTCTATAGCATACATTATTCTTTGTTCATATGATTCTCTTCAAGATCACTTATTCTCTACTACTAGTTCTGTTTATTCTAACTACTAAGTTTTAAGTTTTATTCATTGCCTCTTGGTTCAATCCTTTTCCCGCTCTTAATTGCATATACTTCTTTATGTCTATTCTCCACTTCGAAGTTTAACATTTATAACATTATTTTCATTTCGTTGCTATGTTGTAAATGTTCTAGCATGCTGACTAGCAAGTTATAAAATGTTTGGTATGAGTTATGTGCTCTATTGTATCTCAGATTCAGTTCTTTTCCCTCTTTTAACTACATACACTTCTTTATTGTTTATTATATACTTCGTCTTGTTGCTATGGTGTAAATATTCTAAAATGCTGAAGTATTCTAAATAATCTAATCAAACTTGTGACTGTATATATAGTATAACAGTCAATTAGATACAAAGAATCTAACATAATTTCTATGTTGAACAAATTACACAGAGAGTGCATTTGGATTTGGAACTCGTAGAATCTATCAGCAACCATACAATTAATTGCCTGCTTTGTTGGCTCCTATGATGTACAATATCATGGCCAAGCACAAAAAAAGAACACTATTGGCAAAGCCTACACTGTGAAAGAATTGCCTCAAATATTGCTAGGTGTGAACAATGACAAGCTTTTAGAAATCCGGACCAACATTCTTACACCAGCAATCCTGGAATGAAACCACAAACCAAAGGAACAAAAACAACCAAATTAGTACTTGAAAAAATTACTGCACCCGCTTCTGCTGTACACGACAAGTCAAGCCTGAAGACTTCAACAAAAAGAAGGCTGTCCTTTGAGCAAGAAACCATAGCCACTTTAACTCCCTCTGCACATGAAACATCAGCAGAACTCCCACAAACCCATCTTGAGGTGCATTCTTCTATTTTGCTACCAGAAAGCAACTCTTTAGAGAAAAATGCAGAACCAAGTCCATCAAAGAAGCTGAAGAACATCGTTGAGTCTGAGTAGTTACCATGTCTAAACCAGAAACAATCTTTTGTTGGGTTCTCCTTTTGTCACATTGTGTAAACTTTTTCTTTTGTTGACATATTATGATCCATTATCTTTGCTTGACAAACTTAACGGATCATAATATATCTTTTGTATCCTTTGGAAAAAGAACATTATAGATTAGCAATGTGAATCTATCTGAACCTATAAAACTTGAAGCCTACTTTAGAATTTTATATTTCATCAATTATCCAAATACTAACGCATTAAGCATAGTCTTCACTATAAACTGCATAAATTACATAAACTGAATATTTAAACTACATAGATAAATATTTTCTGACAAACCTGTAGATTCTGCAAACTTATGCAAAAAGCAAACTCATTTGTCTGATCAAATTGAAAAAATAAAATAAATCATTATTCAAGTCTACTTAATCTTACTGCATACGTGTCAACTTACGCAAAAAAATTGAACTAAAGATCTTTGAAAGACAATTATACTTCTAAAGAATCATTACAAACGGAATACCATTCACTGACTCTGAGATACAGCAGATGACATAACTTACACCACAGTGAATTTAGTCACATAATCATATGACTAACAAGCTAGTTCCAACATCTTTTTATGTGACTTGCAAGGTTAGTATTGCATATCACTTATTCAATTTTTACCTAATACACTAACCTCCTGCCATCTATATTTGTCCTTATATATACCTAAGACTTTCCTGTCTTGAGCACTTATTACTCACAAATATTCACACTCAATCCGTGAAAAAAACAGCTAGGTCTGCATTCACTCTCAAGCTATACATGTCTTTTTCCTTCCATTCTTCTTCTGCAATTTTATAACTTGCAACTTATAAAAACAACAAATTCTTCTATTCTTCTTCCACGATTTTAAACACAACCAGTTTTTCTATTCTTCTTTTGCATTCATGATAATATCTTAGCAGAAAACAATGGCAATGGCAACTTGCAACTTAACTGAAATCAAACCTTATTCTGCCAATTGGACTACAATCATACAGGTAATTGAAGCAACGCCTGTTCGCACCACCAACAGATTTCCAAGAGTCAGAGGATAGCGTCAATTCTTGCTCTCAAATTCACAGGTAGATATATCATATTACATAGCATGCGTTTAAACTTTACATCATTTACATAGAGATTCAGTTTTGCTAGAAATACGTTAATAAACTTAAAATTCTTCAGGGAATTACAGTTTAAGCGATCATATTTGACAATGACATTCCACTTGTTAATGGCTTATTGATTCCATTCAGAAAATACTATATATCCAATGCACAGTTCAGTTCAATCAGCGACCATACTGGATCTTGACATCTATAACTCTCATACAACCAATCAATGAATTGGAAACTCCAACTATTCTACCATATTTGCCTTTGGACAACATTCCCAACCTGCATTTTCGTGCACACATTGATAGATATATAAGTATTCTAATCTTTCATGCATCTTTTCTATTCAGTACTATTGTTTATATTAACATTACACATTTAACAAAAAATTACTTTAGATATATTTGTCATAGTGATCTATGCTTTACCAGCAAAAGAGGTTCAGGTTCAGAGACAGACAATTCTAGCCAGGGATTATATTATCTTCAATCAAGAGTACAACATCATTCACTATAAAAACATTTATAGTTTACTTGAACTATAATAATCATCTACTAACCACAAAATTTTCTCCTTTTTAGAAGAAGACAACTACTTATGACACTTTACAACGATTTCCAAACTAATGAAGGTGCTTCTATCACAGCAAGAGAAGAGCCACCTGTTGTCCTAGCATTGAGGCTTATAGTGACTATAGAAAACTGTAAGTTCCATTAATTTCCAAACTTTTGCATGCATTGTTTAATTTGACAATGAAATTCTCCTCTTCCACCTATATTTTACCTAGATCTGTCATTGGCAATGCAACCAACATCTATCATAATGGTAGCACCTGATGTTCAAGAATCAATAGAACTCAATCATTGGTAACCATAAAGCCTTACTATTATATTTCATTAACAATTTCACACCATAGCTTCTGCTACTTATACCCACATTGTCACAGGTCCACAACAATCTGTCATATTTAGCCCAGCTCATTCATGAAAGAACCTTTGCAACTCCAAAAGCTATTCATCCTCCAGTGCAGGACAGTGAAATCATACAAATCCAGATAGTCCTTCATCCAACAACAATGGTAGACCTTTAATAGTCCAAAGTGTCCATTTGACTCTTACAATTGCTGCACCACAATCACCTAAACATTTCTTGTATTAATAGCAGCAGAAACCAACAACCTGGATTACAGGTAGAGCTGAAATTAACTGCATAGAAGGACCATTTTGGTATTCAGCCTGCCTTCTATGTCTTCAGCCTAATGATTTCACAGACACATTGGGAATGAAATGCCAATCATGCGAAGTGGAAATTAACCCTATTCCCAAGCAAGTAACAAATGCAATTACCACATTGATACACTTGATACTTGAATACGTCTTATAAACACAAAATATTTATCATTTTCATAACTAACAAAGCAACTTGATCATATAGAGAGCCTGCATCTCCCTTATCATAATTGATTCAACTACTAAGATACACATCGTTTCATTGGGAGAAGCAGCTGAAACACTGATGTGCATCAATTCCAGTCACTTGCAACAAATTGACAATAAGGTACAATATTTATCTAAAGCCACATTCATTACTAAAATTTTTAGTTGCAAAATACTTACTATTTTCCATGAACAGAACCTGAATCTGCTACATCACATTACTCAAGCTATCCAAGGTAGAATACTACTTTGTTACATCAAAACATCAAGTCCATATGAAAAAACAACCAAAGGCACCGATCATGTTATAATTACAAGCTACAATGAAGAAGAAGTCGCACCTCTTCTGCGCGCTTGACAGAAACCAAAAATACTGCCTACCATGAAACTTGTATATAAATTTTGTTTGGTCTATAACTACCTATCTTTTGCTACTCATAAGGAGCCTGTATTAAATACAATGATGTTTTGTTTCATAGCTTAAGATAGCTGATTCTTGAGTCCTGATGCATACATAAGTACTATAGTTTCTATATGCTTACATGTTGACTGCATTAGCTACGTTGCTCTACTGTATTTTTGGTGTCTAGCCTCGGCAGGACTTATTGCTCCTATTTACACTTTTGTGTTGCTTGTATTACGCGAACGCGTTACTCCGAACTTCACCTAAACTTTTGCCCTTTTATTTAGTTGAATGATAACTCTTGCAAGAGTATCAGTTGATTAATTCGTATGTTCCATGCTAGAATAAATAGTTTATTGCACTTATATTAGTTACGGTCAAAAAAAACTTTTTTTTTACTTAATCAAATTTACATCACAAATTTCTCTCCTATCAGCCTCATAAACATAACTAAAACTTTTGCAAGAGGAGGATTAAAAGAAAACCTACGTACTTATGTGCTCCTTCCCAAGTGAATTGCTTAGTTTCAAAATTGCAACAAAAAGTGGATGACAAGTTTTTCTTCATTTCTCAATGTATATTTGTTACTCATTTCTTTAGAGACGCAAATTTCAGCCTACAACTCAATAAATACAGGAAATCAATTACGTTAGTGTGTGGGTGGTGGTGTGTTAATTTGTTGATAAAGTGTTATATATCAATTACGTTCTTACAGAATCAAATTTTTGTTAATATATTTCTTCTACCGTCTACATATGCACATGATGATTATCTTTGATAAGATCATCTTAATTACAAAGGGCAATATAAAAGAAAAAAATATATTTTCTAAATTTCAAAGGGTTCAATTATGATAAAACTTTTAAATTTATATTTTTATAATGTAGGAAAAAATATCAAAAGGTATAAATCATATCTCAAATAAATATTTAAAAAGGAAACAAAAAACTTTTATGATTTTTGTTTATTTAAGATTTTTCACTTTTTTTTAAAAAAATTTGATATCTTTACTTAACTTGCGACCATAATTCAATAGAATGGTCTCCTTACCATTTATTGCTTTTTAAAATGAACTATTTTATAACATTAAAGAAAAAAAGTTAACCTTCTCCTTTTCATGTTACTTGATGAACTCTTGTTTGCATTATACTTCTTTACATAAACGTTTAATGCTTTATTCTACAACTAAAATTTCCAGACATCTTGGTAGCAATGAGTACATCTCAATGGGCATTGGCTGTGCATAGCACAGCCTACCCCTACTAGTATATATATATATATGAAAGTAGCTATTTTAATTACAGTGTTTCTCACTCCTATGTGGCATGCCTAATTGAAAAGAATTAATGGATTGTGGATCACTTGGGTTTTATCCATACTGAATCCTATTTGGATTATACTCCCTCTGTTCCTTATTAGATGTCCTAATCCATTGTTTCTTTTTATTTGTCATTTTATGATATCAAGAAAGCATTTATGAACTTTTTTCTAAATTTACCCTTGCTTACCCTTTCAACTTTCTTGAATTGGAACTCTAAATAATTAAATGCAGTATTTGTAGTATTAACAATAGAAGTAGTTGAAGAGATGAAGAAATAAATTGAAATGTGTCTATAAATTGGGATTGACCAACTCCATTACATAGTCATCTAAAGAAAATGGAGATCGATAAAGATATCAATGTTTCAAATTCTATAAAATTGTCCAACTCAAGTGTAGTGTTCAGTGGAGAAAAAAAGAAAGTTTCTCTAAATTTTGACTTGAATGTACCTCTAGATCGTGGGTTCGACTTGAACAAATTTCCAGACGAAGGAGATGAAGCTTTTGCAGAAGAAGAATTTCAGCAAGTGGTTAGGATCATGTTAAAAGTTTATCTTCCCAAATTCTATTAACTCAAGGCCAATAAGACATGTCTCCTTCAAAGTCCTTTCTTGTTCGACTTTATTTTGCTTCATATGATGGCCTACTATTATTTTACTTGATGTCATGGCTGCTTACACCATATAATAGGTAAAACTAAAATGGACAAGCAAAAAAAAAAATTACTGGCTTTTACTTGATGTCATGGCTGCTTATCACATGAATTGCAATTCCCACGGAAAAATACCAAAAACAAAGCATAGAGACACCGGAGAAGCATCAAATACGTGCTACTTTGAACCAAAACCCCAGAAAAAACAAAACAACATATTTAGTCATTAATCATTACAAAATTAACTTGGCTATCAAAAACTTAAATAATCAAGAACTTCTTGCACTAATGTGGGATTACATTTCATCCGAGTAGGGAGTCGGCCACATCTTTCTAGCACTGCTTTCTTACTATGTGGGATCTTATATTTGTTGGAACCTTTTGCCTTCATGATTTCTATCATGCATGTCTGAAGTGTTAAGAACATTTTGTCAAATTCCACAGTGGAGAAAGCTTCAAATGACTTCACAATAGCATTAACAAGCTCATCAATTGTTGTAGGTGCTTCCTTGTGTTGTAATGACTGAATTGCATGAAAGAACCCAAAATCTAAGACATTTAAATCCAGAGAATTTGCTGGTTGATACATCAAACGAATATCAAACCCATCTTCTGTAGCTGCTCGACAAAAATCAGCATCATCAATGCCAATGTGAGTTCTTGCATTATCTTGTTGAATAAATATTGGCTGCCTTAGATCATCTCTTGGCCACTTTGCTTTGATGGCAAGTAACACCTTTTCAATTAGAAACGATTTTATAACTTCTTTATTTATCGAAGTTATTGGTTTTGTTTCTAATGTACCTACAGATCTATTAACACTAGTTCTTTTGGCTGGCTCTTGAGTGACGAATGGGAAGATACCAATTTTTCCAGAAAAGGATTTCAGTCCTTTGTGTATCAAATCTTGGACGACTTATAGCAGCTAAGAACATGACTTTTGGAATGAAATTTTTACTTTGACAAGTGCGTAATGGCTCTTCCTCATCTGGTAGCAAGTAATAGTTTTCAGACTTCTTTGACATGTACAACCATTTTTCATCGATATGAATAATGTTATGCATACCCATGAAAGTTGGATCATGTGGTATGCTGCAACTTTCCAGCACGGACAAACAAAATTGCAGTCGACATCTTTTGTTTTCTTCCTTTAAATATGGTCTTATGCCATTTGAGTGATGCCGTATAACTCCAATCTTTAGAAGTCTAAACAATGAGGTCTGATTTGTGTCTAAAACGGAAGCTAAAGATCGAATAGATGTCCTCTTTGATAAGGGGGTCTCACGAAATCGAACCATGTCAATCTGAACTCTTTTTTGTCCACAATTTTTTGTCTTCCTATGACACACATCACCACTGTCCTTTGCTCGTTTGCAAATATGTTGAATAGTTCTCAGTGAAACTGAATAAGATGATGCCAATGTCAAGAGAGTACCTTATTTCACTTTTCCAGCAACACTTTGTTTCAACAAAGCACAATGTATTCTTTTGCGTTCTTCATTGGTCAAAGTTTTAAGTTTCCTTGTGCGACCACCACTTTGTGCTTCTACCACTTCTAAATTTGGATTGTCATCACTGACATTGTTATCTAGTTAAGAATAAAACAAAAATAAGAAGTTACTGGTACATATAGGTAAATAGGAGTCAATAATATGGAAAGAAATTGTAATACCAGCATTCAACTTTGGTTCCGCCAATTCTATCACTTCGAGATTTGCTTCTGTTTCATCTTCTGCACATGGCTCTTTGTTCAAGTCAAAAAGGAATTGACTTGAGGATATCGTAGTTGTTGGAGGACTTTGTTTAAGGTCAAAGTCAAGAACAAAACCTTCTTCAATAATGCAATTAAGATCTGGCAATTGATATTGCAATTCCTCTGTAGCAGCTTCTTGAGCCTCTTCACTATGAATGTTAGAATCTGCCCATGAATTATTTAAATCGATTTCAAGTACAGGCATCTGATATCTTTGCCTTGAACCCATGGATAAAGTAAGTTGTTTTGAATAGATTTAACGTCCAGCATACTTATAATGTCAAAGTCTTTTATTTTTTGGTGGAAATTAATATTCAAATTTTGAGATCTATGAAAACAAATTTGGTGGGAACTATTCAGATCTTCAGATTTAATCTATTGATTGAGAAATGTGAGAGAGAGTAAATGACAGATAGTATTAATTAAGTATAGTTGAAGAGAGATAAAGGATAATTTTGAGAAGTAAAGTAAAACTTTTGTTGACTTTTAGAAAATAACAAACTTTCTTAATCTACGAGAATTAGTTATTCAGGCCATCTAATAAGGAACGGAGGGAGTAATTTTTAAACACCCTTTTATTTTTCTTTCTTTTTCTTATGATTGAAAGCCTTTGTTTGTTACCATATTATTTTTGCAAAGTTAAGAAAGAGTATTTGTAGGACAAAACAAGAGTAAGGTGTGAAACGGCGGTCTTTTTATCTGTCAAAATTAGGTGGATTGTACTATATTGCGAAAAATTAAAAGTTAAAGGTAGTGAATTGCAAAAATTAGAAGTTTAGGGTGTAGTGCTCAATTTGGAAATAGTTTATAGGTGCAAAGTGCAATTAACCCTTTCTAATTTTAAAATAACTTTAAAAAAACTAATCTTATTTTAACTTTATCTTATTACCTTAATAATTAACCATTATTTTCTTCTGAGCCAGTATATATGATATACTGAATTTTGATCATCAAAAATTCATAATGAATCTTTGACCCACAATTAAGATTATATGAAACTTTAACCACAAATTAAGGAGGCCATGAATGAAGTATCAAAAGCTAAGATTTCAACAATTCTTAGATTTACACTCTAAAGTACCAAAACTCATGGTACTTTTATATAGAGTATATATACTATAAAATCAAATGATTCACAAATCCAAGAACAGTGGGATTTAAACAAACATCTTTCAAATTGATGTCTTCAAAAACTTACAAATACAAACTTAAATGAAGTCAAATTATATAACCAACTATAAATACTAATCATACTATTACAAAAACAAAGAAACACATACAAGGCCTGCTAACATATAAGAACCACGCGTTCACCGAAAGACAACATAAAGCAAATATCAAATCATCAAGTATACCAAATGTCAACCACAACAAATGTAACGTACAGATCCATGCATTTATACATCTAACATAACTAATGCTCCTACATATATTATATTTACAAAAGCTACATAGCATCTATCTAAAGCAAAAATTAGCAAATTTTCCACCTTGCAAATGCCACCTGAGCAATTGGAGTTACAAAACTCACTAAAATACCATCGCTTCACCTCCTATATAATCAATTTCACTCTAATACAACACAGTTCAAACTAATAACTTTTATAGTTGCCTATCCGCATCTCAATCAATTGATTTATATTCCATATATTCCTTATAAAATTTTTTACATGGAACATCATTTTACTCTAGTTAATTAATTATCCAAAATGCGGAATAACTGAATAACTGAAAAGTTCAGTTCACAAGCCAACAAAATTTATCAACAGTACATATTCACATATGGATCGGTAAGAAACATGTTACTTCTTGTTTCAGTATAAATCACGTTTATTAAAAGGATTAATCTTATATATACTGTCAGTGTATACACTATCACCATTAGATATATAAAATATGTGCAAAATTTGAATTTACCCATCTAACCATGATAGCGTGTACACTGAAAGTGTGTATAAAATTTACTCTTATTAATATTATTTAACATGATCATGAACTTATTATTTTCAGGATGACACAATTCAATCATTTGTTTATGGCAATGAGACCACCTATTTAGACAATCGGCTCCAAATCAATTCAACCTACTATATTGTCAATACAAACATCTAAACACTACTACCAGCCGATGCCAATTAGGAACATGTCCTTATGGGATAATAATAACAATCCAAAGTCCAAACCTTTATTCAAGGAGTCCAAAGCATTCATTAATTGCCAACTCAATCGAACCTTTATTCAACGAGCGCAAAATATTCATTAATAATTTAATTGCCAACTCACAATGCCCACAATTATACATACTTTTTTGTTTTAGCGTTATTCTCACTCAATGACGATCGAACCATAACTTCTCTTCCACACGATCTCTCTATCTTTATATTAAACAAAAAATTATAAAATCTAAGATATTATTATTTCTGCAATTACAGGCTTACTTTGCATAGTCATCCATGCATTTTGGAGCCAGAAGTATACAAATACAAAAAAAATTGTTATCATCAACAAAAAGTACATCACGCCAAATGTTAATTTTAATGATTTGGAGAGGATACGTTGAATTGAACGGTACGAGGGGAGTGACAGTAAGTAAGAGGTCAGAAATCTTGAATTGAAAACTTCCACTTACACTAAAAAAAAAAAAAATTTAATGATTTTAGCGATTCTTTCACATTGACTAAACAATTAACCACTACGTTGCTTTTTGCAAGATGAGACCAATGATTCTTACGATCAAGGAAAATTAAATCCATACCGACGAAGTCTACTTGTAGCAAATAACTCACCAACACCCAATTATTGTCATAAACCGATCAAAACTCGGCAATCGTCATGCTAATACTAACAATTTTAATCTCTCCACAAACTTTTTAAATTTCGCCTATCAACAAGTTCAATCTTTACAGGACTTTCTATTGCAACTAAACGATCAACTATTGTCTTTCAATCATTCCATGGGCACAACATTTAAGACGCTGGTTCCACTAAATGGTTGCACATGGACCAGCCTAATAGCAGGTTGAGCAAAACAAGGCCCCATTGTATATACATGTAAATATGCAATAGTTCATAAATTTAAAAAAAAAAAAAAAACGCTTTTCTTATATCCAATCTATAGCAAACTCTTGTGTTATTAGTTGATTCACCTAGAAGAAAAACATAATCTAATACAAACAACTTATTAATATGGGCAACCTGACACGCAAGTGTCAGGCCCCATTTCAATTATAGACCAAGGGCACCAACTGTTGTCAGTAATAACTGTTCTAAACGATATAATATTTTCTGAATAAGATGCAACTCTACGTGAACTATTTATAAAACTTAACAACTGAGATACAATTATTATATATGGGACCCACATGAATAGTAATAAAATATCAGATCCCTGTTGTAAGGATGCACAAAAAATTTATATAGAGTTACAAAACGTTTAAAAAATGTTACACTGCTTAGGAACGATTGCTACTGAAAACGTTTAAAATTTATATAGGATGGACAACTATCCCTTATTAAGTCCATGAGTGAAGCCATTTTCCAGGGCCGTACTTTAGACCTTTGCCTCACCAAGTTGAGAGTTGAGACTAGAGATCAAGTCATGAGATTACCCCTTGCTAATCCTTGGAGGTAACTAGCCTTGACTCTCCCCCCCCCCCCCCCCCCCCAAAAAAAAGAAAAACTTTTTCTAGATCCATTTATACGGGTCATTTGACTGTTAAATAGTAATATGGACAATGTGAGCACGCTTGCCACCAAAATTTATAAGCAGATGAAGTATTGATTTGCATGATTCCAGTATACGAGGACAGTGAGCTTGTTCGTGTTGGCACTTGTTTTCCTCACAGTATTTTTACTTGTTTAACTTCAGAGGTTAATTAAGTGACATTCCCGAGCAACCTGCACGAATTGAGGTGGTACTGGGTAGCAATGTACCAACAGATTCTGGAGAAAGTAGGAGAAAGCAGCAGAGATCAACAGGGATCCCGACCACATAAGTCCAAAACAGGCCGACACCACACATGATCACCACACATGATCAACACCAAAGCAGGCCAACACCACACATGATCACCCATAGGTGTTCCCAAGGACTAGAGCCAGAAGCGCGACCTCAGGATCGCAAGCTGATATTTACACTCTGAATAAATAACCTTTATTTCTTTGTCTATTTTTCCCATGTTGGATGTGATTATGAGAGCTCTACTATCAAATTCTGCGATATTTAGGCCTTAAAATACAAAAACAAAAAAGGTAGGGGGCCAAATCAACATGATCTTAGTTACAATATCTCATGACGACGACCAGTTAGGTTTTTTTTTACAAAGCACACTGAAATGAGGTATACAAGGACAACTACACGAAACATATCATTTGTAACAATGGCCGAAGGATTTTGCTTCAAAAGCACCAATGGCAGCAGGAAAATGAATAAGGCACGTGCCCAGTTCTGCGAATATATTCTGCACGCTGCTCTGTTTTAGCAGCACAGCGGTTTCTCTTAGCCTCTGCTGCTGCATGCTTCTCGTCAGCCTTGTGTTGAAGAGTTGCCAGCTTGCTCATTAACTTATCTTGTGCTTTGGCCCTCATTCTCTCTACTTCCACCTGAAAAACCATGAGCTATAGTTACGATCATGTAATGTCAGCACCAAGAAATAACCAAATATGAGTTACTTCAGAAGGATTAGACACTTGAGCAGATAAAACATTCACGTCCTACATGCAATGTATGAGAACTATTTCTGCCTTTTTCCAAATTGTTAAAATGGAACCATGGAAATTGTACCACCAACTATAAACTTCAAACACAAGTAAATTTTGATAAAAGTTATCTATTAATTTGGTCGTCTAGAATTTGACTCCAAGTCTCTTGAGGTGTAAATCACATCATACATAAATCTCATGATGCCATCTAGTGACAGTTGTACAACTTTTCTACCAGAACTTTGAACCTTATATGATGCTACATACGAAATCTAGTTCCAACTGCGTTTCTTTTTTTTTTTCTCTTTTTAAATAGTTAAGTCTTAATAAATAACTGGAACTAGTACGGTTATAATTGAGTTCTAAAATGGATTACTGAGTAATCTACAGCTTCTATAACTTGCGACAGAGTGATGAACAGGCAGCAAAGTTCCTTAAACTGATCTTAGGGGTTGTTTCCCCATAACTGCTTTGAATTTGAGGAAGTAGCAACTGTGTAGTGCAATTTTGTATCACTGCTTTTCGTATTCCAGTATTCTATCAGACCTTGGAATGTTATATAAGCTATTTCATGAGATCTGTTAATTATGGGTGGTTTGTGTATTTTAGATGAACAATGGAATGAAACAGGGAGAAAGGAAATTTTTCATACACAAATCACATATCATGTCTGTATCGCTTGTCTTAATTTTTCATCTTATGATTGAAGATGAGTCAACAATTTCCTTTACCTGTTCCAATCTCTCAGTCTAGTGAAGTAGTAGAAAAGAAGCAGATAAAGATGATGTAATTTCAGCTGAGCACTTGAAATTCATTTGCAAAAACTTAAATAAAAGTCCTCTCATTTGAATGCAAACTAGGGGTGTTTCTTGAATACGAGCTCGACTCGAACTCGATACTCGAGCTAATTAAGTCGATCTCGAGCTCAAAAACATTAAGCTCGTTGGCTTGCGAGCGGCTCACGAGCTCAATTATATATATATTTTTTTATTTTTTATTTTAATAGTAAAATTACATATATATCCCTAATATTTTATTATTTATTAAAAAAATATTATTTTATTCATTTTTAAAAATAAATAATTATTTTTTATTTTTTAAGCTCGACTCGAATTTGACTCGAGCTCGAGCTCGATATTTTGAACTCGTCGAGCTTGAGCTCGAGTTCGAGCTTCACAAAATTAACTCGAGCTCAGCTCGATTAGCCAAAGCTCGACTCGAGCTCGGCTCGTTTGCACCCCTAAATTGCAAACCACAGTACATTGCAGGAGAGTATGTGAAATCTGTAATGTTTCAAGATTCGAGGTTAAACAATAAACAAATAGAATTATAAATAAACAATTAGGGCCAATGAACATTCTGAAAATTGTTAGCATGCATGTGATATAGAAATCCAGAATGCCGTGCACATCTGCAATCTGGTGTACAAGTTTCAGGGGGGAACCAAAGGGAACTTGCCTCAGTTTTTCGCATTTCAGCTTCTGTCTTTGCTTTCTGGTGATTTTCCCATGCTTGTATCTTGATTTCTTCCCTTTTGAACCTAAATTGAAAGATCCACAGTACTTTCCGAGTCTAATTAGACAGCATATAATTCAGAGACCCCAGCCAAACAATGAAAATAATAATACCAATCAACTTGACTTTCATGTTCCATTGTTAGTGCTTTAGATTGGCAAACTTTACTGCATCACTATATAAGCCCTCCAAATGACATATTTAACTCTGATCAGTTAATTTGCTAGTTTGATATACACATATTTAAGAATTCTTGTAAACCTTTTTTTGTTGAGACAAAGTCTAGTCAAGAATTGGCAGGTAATATCCCCTCCTTTCTACTATATTATCCTTCACTTTAGATTTACATTCAACTTTAAGTTCTGTGTCCTTTTGTCAATTATGCACATGGATTTACATCACACCTGTGACTGATTGCCGATATCTAGCATGTAGAACCACAGCAACATCTTCCACATGCAGTATCCAGGAAAATATTGTATTTACAGAGACCAACATGCAGAAAAGCATGAAGAACTGACAGAGCAGTTTAGATTGCAAAAAGCAAAATGTAACACAATAACTCTTGCTGCTGTATATAAAGCAGCAGTCACATTCGGTGAATGAACCATGCTTAGAATTATATTAAAGTATTTTATAGAAATAACCTGGCCATGTATTTCGCTTTTTCTGCTTCCTCCCAAGCTGCAGCACGTGTCTCAATGACACTTTTAGCTTCTTGTTCTGTTGATATAGTTTTTACCGATGCTGATGCTTCTTTATTTTCATCATCCTTTCCAGCCCAGGCAGCTATGTTCATCTTACCCAACTGAGTTCCCAGGACCATGATCTCTCTTCGAGTCTTCATCTGGAGTTCCTTTTCAGACCACTCTTTTCTGTCAGGATCTAAACACTCATTCGGAGGATCAATTGGAGACGGAGCTGGGGCATCTCTTCCTGGAGTTGAAGGCCTAGAAGAATTAGGACTTCGGGCTGGTGTTGTTGCTCTCACAGGTGTTCCAGTCCTCGAAGGCTCTTGGCTTGCAATTGGAGTCATTTCTGTACCCATGTCTCTCATTGACACAGACCTAGCAGTTGATGGTGGTGGTATGAATGTTGTTGCACTATGGATGGAAAGAGATGAATCATGGCGGCTCAGGTTAACTGCAAAAGAAAAATTTATTCAGTTTCTGGATTTTAGATCAATAAGAATATTTAAAGTAGGTACTTTCATACAAGGAAGTAAACATCCTTAGAACATACATGCATCTTTGCATAAAGTTCTACTAAAATAATTCGAGTATATGAGAAAAATAGTGCTGATTGTGATCTAGCTTGTGAGTTCATGTACAATAGACTGACCATGATATCAGCATGCTCAACAAATCAGAGCACACAATACTTCAGTCCACATGATGACAGATTGAGCTATAGCTTGATCTTACTTTCAATCTGACATTATAACTGCGCTGCGTTGCATTATTGCAGTCCACACCATAAAGGTGGAGACATGCAATTAAAGCTGATTGATAAGCCTTTTATCCCAGAAATTTACCAAAATTGAAGTTTCAAATGCTTCAATTTTTTTTTTGTTCATTTTTTAGTCACTAGTTTAAAATAGGTATGAAATTACTTGCGTGGATTCAATAAGATTTCCAAATGCATTGTGGCTGAACAATATTTTTCAGCAAATCCGTGTGGCAGATCTGGTGTTTTATATATAATAGACAATTTTATATGGGTAAAAGGTATTAACTGATTTGTGAAAGAAACCTCAAGGATTAAATAGGCTCAGCATTGAATGATAAAGGACCAAAATGAACAAATTGAAAGTTTAAAGACCCGATGGAACCTTTTGAAAAAGTTAAGGACATTCTGAGCAATTTACAACCTAACCAAGCAAGGCATCTTGAGAACTATCATGATTGATATGGGTAAAACTACATCATAAGTGTTCGTGTTGAAACTTGAAACTTAGTATTGCAACTAATATTTCAAGAGGGGCCTTGTAATAGTATTACAAATGTATATGCCTATATTTGGACGCTAAGGAGACATTGGTCTAGTGGCTAAGGTTAAGGCCCAGGAATTACAAGTCCTGGGCCTATATTTTTAAAAAAAAAGCCTATATTTGGACATGCAATCTAGATAAGCTAAAGCAGTTACGTGGTAAATTAAGGTCTTTTTTTGTTAATAGAGAATGGTCCTTGAGTGAAAATAATATAAAAATTCTTGACAGCCATTCTGAGTCTAGCTATGAGTTATCTTATATTAGTTTCATTATTCTCATATTGAATAAAGATCCATCAAAAGGGTGAAGAGAAAACAGAGGCAAAATGTTCATTTAGGATTATTGGCTGTAGTTCCCACCTAACTCCTCTTAACAAGAAGTAGTATTCAAGCAAAACATGTTTTTCTGGAGACAGCAGAAGTGCAAGAAAAATATCCAGCATACTCAAATTAATAATTGCAGAGATAAACAAGATAAGCATAGTGATAGATTGCTTTCTACATACATAGAGAGAATAACTTTGATAATCTAAAGCTATCCAAACAGGCAAGAAAGTTAATAGGCAAAGAAGAGAAGGTAACTTGACGATATCACTTTTCAGAGATGAAGTAGGTTTGACCCTATGACATTTATCCTAGACATCAGTACTGAATTTATTTTTAAAGAAAGAGGCCCATTGATTAGCATGGAGATTCATAGTTGTATCACAAGGGCATTGATCCTTTGATTTATCAATTGAGCTAGGAAGCTTGAAGAAGCAGCTGATCAATCCATTATGTTTTAAATATCTCACTGACCAGTAGTTATCTGAAGATTGACTCAGATTTAAAAAAAAAAAAAAACAAAAAGAAGATGAAAAACACAAAGCAAACAAGGCAAGAAGCAAAATCTAGAAGTCCTTTTAAAAAAGAGTAAATTTTATATGTGTATACACTAACAGGTAGAAGTTCGTAAAAAGCAAACCAAATTAAAGAAAGCACCATGATCAACTAGTCATAAGTTCATCAATGATGCAAATGAAGAGAATTTCTAGGGAAGAAACACAAAATTAACAATACAAGGCACCAAAAGACGCTTTAATATTTTGTACCAAATTTGAAGGTCTAGAGCAATCTTTTAGTAAATCCTTAAAGCAAACTAAAGCACTATTTAAGTATAGACAGATTTGCTACCTTTTTCAACTCTATCTTCTTCAATAATCCAAAATTGAAAATATGCTTTACATGAAAGCTTAGGCATTGAAAGATGTAAACTTAATCTTTTACACAAAGCAATCTTCACCATATTACATAAATGCAGATACTTAATTGGAAATAAAAGAGATGCCGCGAGCATAAAGATTAATATGTGCCCTCTGATAAAAGATTAGATACAAAAGCAGGGATGTATAATCATCACATGAACCACAAGGAGTTTTAGCTTTCAAGGTTTTAACAGCCATGTCCTGCCAGTTTTCAGAAATTTAGGGTTGTTATTTAAAGACTTGAGATACTCATGATAGAACAAAGTTTTACCTAAAGTTTTTTTTTTTTTTTTTTTCCAACCAGATCAGTTCATTGTTGCTTGAAGAAAATCTTTTCACTTTTTGTTACAACACTGCATTAGTCCAAGAATTCTGAATCAATGATAGAATGATCAAGATCAGAATTCTGCCAAAAAAAGTTAGATTTTTTATTTTTAGCTCACTGATATGACAGATATGAAATAGCGCGATTCCAGGTTACAGAATTTTTTTTTTTTTAACCCAAGATTTACTTCATTGGACTAGGATAAGTACCATGGACATCATCCAGACCGTAGCTCAGATAAGAAACTTGAGAATTCTAATAGGCAAAGGAATTGATGAAAAGCATATTATCTTACTTGCTGACTCTCCGATGCAATTTTCCATCATGGGAACTGGCTTGCTGTATGATTCAGAAGCAAACTGATTAGAATCCCAACTCACAGACTTCTGCACTCCGGTCTCCTTCTTAGCTTGGCTAGTGTCAATCCGCTTGGTATCCGGTTCCTCATATGGTACCATTCTCTGATCAGGCACTTCAACAACCACCTTGGTAGATGATTGCCGGCTACCATAACCAAATTGACTGAATTTCCGCAATCCAATCCCTTGATTGACCTGGCCATTCTTCGGATGGCCAGATGTCGGGCTTGCTATCCACTTTTGTGCATCATCCCACTTCGATGGTGCCGGTTTTGAAAAGGGTGCAAGAGGCACTCTTTGTGGTGCCCGATGGTCAGACTTCTGGAACTCAAAGACTGATGAAGACACACTCATACTATCAGTCCCACTATCATAGTGGAAAGAACTGTCATCTACAGACCTAATTCTTGAGCTACTAAAGGAGTGATCCTTCACTCTACCATCATAAGTGATCTCCAAGTTGACTGACGATGCTGGTGCTGTCAAAGTTGTGTACTCTGGAATCACAGTCACGACATCTACATCTTTGCAATTATCATAACTAATAGCCCCTGATTCAACGAACATGGATATATATACATCCGAAGTCAGTAACTGGTCCATTGAGTCAAAATAATTAAAAATTATCAGATACCTTTCCTCGCAAAATTCCAAAGCAAGCAAGTCTTGACTCAGTTTCCCAGCTTTCAAATTGAAAGAAAACAAAGGATTCCTTCCTTTTCCTTTTTCATTTTTCCCTTTCTTCCTTTAGCCTTACTATTCTATTCAAGCTTGGCTATAAGCATCTAAAAGTCAAGAAAAGAAAAAGGAAAAGAAAACATGATATTCACGATTGAAGTCATCATGGTCAAAAAAAGAGATCTTCCGTAGGTCCCACTTGAATGGAGATTCCAAACAGATTGAACATCCTCATACCCTTTTACTTTTTCCATCCACGAAGCAAATCATTTGCCCTAAATTATCCAAATTGACAATGGCAAGTCAAAATCCTCATACCCTTTTTACTTTTCCAGCTAAGAAATGAAAGCATTTCCACCAAATTAATTATAATACCACAGAAAGTAACAACCTTTACTCCAAAGATGCACAACCATGAAAATACACATAAATGTCGTATAATAACATGATCTAGTGAACAAAAATGTCATACCTGAATCATGGATCTCAAAATCTGGGGATCTTCTCATAGAAAGGCTAGTACTCTCGAGCTCCTCATCTTCTTCTTCCTCTTCGTCTCCTCCTTGTTTTCTCTTCTTCTCTGCTCCTGTCCCCAATATCATAGTCCTCAACTTCCCAGGAGATAACTATAAAGCAATAAAACAACAACAACAACAACAACTGTTTTAGGTGGAAAAAACAAAAAAGCCAACTGAAAATGATGGAAAATGGTAGCACTTTGGAACTAAGTGTTCAAAGATTTGACAGATCAAAAGGGTTTGTTTTATTTCTTGAAGCAACCAACAAAAACAAACAAAAAAATTTATTGCAGTACTACTACTCTAGTCTAAACAGAGCTGAAAATGAAATGTCTGCTGCTTTACTTGCAAACTACAAAAACTACAATCACATTGGGAAAAGAGAAAGTTGTACTACTACCTACAATTCCTTTAACAGTGACAAATGACAAAGGCCAAAAGAATAAAAAAAAAAATAGACAAAAACCCAAAAGAAAAAAAAATGATAGACCTGCTTCTGCTGCTGAGGTCTCTTATGGATTCTTTCATATTCCATTTTAAGTACTACTATTAATTGCTCTGCTGATGAGTACTTCAACTGCAATGCAATTAGTATGTTTTAACTCCTTACTCTTTTAATGCAAGTGGGATGGACATTTGGGGATTGGTTTCTTGAAGGAGTAATGGGTTTTTGTGATGATGGAGGAGGGGGTGACTGAGAGAATTGGCAAATGGTATCTGAAATCTGAAATAGTGACACAGACGAAATGGGGCCATCTGAATTCTGTTCAGTTGGGTGGAATTTGGTGAGAGAGTACGTTGTGTAGTCACGAGTCATCGGGCAATGATTTTATGCCACGTGTTCTGCAAAAGTAAAATGTGTATTTCTTCAGTCTAAACGGAGAATCTTGACTTCACCCTTTTGATTTCTCCCAAAAAATATATATATATACATAGGGCAATGATTTCTCCCGTCATTTGCTATGCTAGGACTTGAAAGTAAACTTGCCACTTTTTGGATTTTGATCAAAGGATGAAGTAAGATACAATTATTAAGTCTAGAATTTCTCTTAGAACCAGATGCATACATATATACATACAGGAATTGGGAAGCTTTTCTGGCTCAAAAGCAAAATAAGTTGACATTATTACATGACAAGAATTTTCAATTATAATCTTCAACAACATATGTTTGTTCAAAATTGACTAGTTATTGTTTCAAGGGGTTGTTTATTAATTTTTCTTCCAATCTGTACTTCTACTACCTTATTTTAGGTTTCAAGGGAAAAAAATTATTTTCAGTAGGCAGTTTTTCTTGAATTCTGAAAGGGTAGAGGTGAATGAGAACATTCTCTAACTTGAAAAGCATGAGAAACATGTGGAAAGAAAGACGATTTGTAATATTATTTTTAAACTAGAAACACCAACATGTTTTAGTAGTTTAGTTTAATGAAGTCAACATAACTTAAACAAGAGGAAATATAAGACGTAAAGGTAAAGAATTAGAAGTCAACCACAGGAAAATTAAAAAGAAAAAGGATGGAATTGGAGTTAATTATATCGACATAATCGTGCTTGAATTTTTTTTTTCTCAGGTCCAATTCAACGTTGCACTCAATTATTTTTGGTTAAAATCTGCCAATTTACTTGCAAAAGAAGAGAGGAGGGGGGTGGGGGGTTGTGGAGAATTCTAACTATTTGAACCATGCAGGCCGAAATATCAATAGAATTGTCTGCCAAATGTCAAGAAATCAACCTTACAAGGAAAAGGAAAAAAATCTTCCAGGCCATTAAATTATATCCTGATTCAACTTTTGACCATCAAACTATTTTTTATCTCAATTTAACCACTCAACTAATTAATCAATATATCCATGGTCCTTTCATCCAAACTAAATACATGCAATTTATGTGTCAAAATCTAAGGGCAAATATATCCCTTGAATTTTTCGACCTGAAAGCAAAAAACTCTTGTGGCCATTAAACTATTCCGCTCGTACATTTTTTATCACTCAAGTATTTTTTTATTTTAATATAGTCACTAAACTTTTAAATCGGTACACTAGTGGTCATTCCATCAAATATTGTTATTAATGCTAACAAAACGAGCTTCACGTACATATCGCGTCCTTTGGGATGTGTAGTGCACATGCAACTTATTCTATTACATTAACATTCAGTTTGGCGCACAATGACCACTAATATATAGACTTGGGGCTTGAGTGGCCATTTTAAATAAAAATATATATATATATAATTGAGTGACTAAAAGCATACGAGCAAATATAGTTTAGGGGTTGTTAGAGTTTTTTGCCAACTCAGTGGAGATTTTTATCCTTAGGTTTTGATACATGAGTTGTACATGTTCAGTTTATTTTGTAGATTGGGAGCAAAATAGGCTGAAATAACCATGGATATTTTTAAAAAAAAAAAAAACCAAACTTTATTGATGAAACGATAAAGTACATAGTTTCAACCACAGATATACTAATTAGTTAGTTGAGTGGTTGAATTGAGATAAAAAAATTATTTTGATGATTAAAAGTTGGTGTAAGATATAGTTTGATAGATGGCGAGATATTCTGTGCCGAAAAAACTTATAATGAGTGGTCAGTGAATCCTTAGTGCATTTATGTGTCGGGCAATGGCAATTGAATAGATCAAAGTTGACCAACAAGGCAAAAGTTCAAAATATAAAGGTCAAATAACACCATGTTGATTTGATATAAGTAACACCACGTTTTGCATTCCTATTATAAAGTTGTACAAATTGCTTGTAATGAATTATATCTTTTTCAAACATTTGCACTATCAATCATTTTTGTCCTAAATTCACACTTGCAGGATTAAATTTTACTTTTGAGAAAACAAACTCCTGAAACTCAAAAAATGAATTCTTATTTGATACCCATTAGAAAACCCATAAAACAATTTCAGATGTAACATACAAAAGAAGAGAGTTTTTTCTAATTTTTATTGAAATAAAAACCAAAGGAAAAAGCCAACAATATGTTGAAATTAGTTCTTGTGAAAAGGTTTTGCATAATAAGAGTTTAATCATGTTAGGTCAAGTGTGGTAAAATACACATTCGCCTATAAAATGACAAATCAAGTGCCCTAGTAATTTCTAGCAGCAATGAACAAGGAATATGCAGTTAGAACACTCACCAGTTCAAACAAAGTAACGTCAAAAATTCGCCCCCGGGTTATGCCCTTGACCACCAACAAATTCTAAGAACAACCAAGATAAAAGTATTATGGTTCAACAATCCAAACCTTAGGTGGATGAACAAGTTTGTGTCCAAAAGACTACCAAAACTAAGGACTTGAGGCTAAAAGGCAGCAAGGTACAAAGCTGCCATCCCAACCAGAATTTTTTTGTAGCCATGAAACAAGCAAAATCATGAGGTTTTTCACCTTCCAACCTTCATAGTTTTCACCCAACTTCGACGCACAAAAGTCCTAACCACTGTATGAAACAAGTTTTGGCCCAAAACTAGCCATGAAAAGGTTGGAGAAAAACAAGGTAACATGCTTCACTATCACTTAGCCAACAAGCAAAATTTCAACCAGCAAATTGGAGGAAATTACCAATGAAAACCCTTCCATTTCAACCAAAATTCAACACATAAGTAAAGATTAAAGGTTTGCCAAGCATCTTAAGCAAGTTTATCACAAAATAAGCCCACAATTAAAGGAAATAAGCTGCCCCAAAATTCGGACAGCATCTCCCCTGTTTGGTCCTCAACTTTTCCTCCAAATTCAACATACAACTTCATGGCAAATCCATCCAAATCAAGACCACAAATTATAGGCTATAAAAGCGACTTATTTCGGACCAAAAAAGCTCCCAAAATAGACAATTATCTAGCTCATATGTCACCATGCCAAGGGTGGCCAACAAGCAACAGTTCATCTCTACAAGCTGGAATTTCTACAGCAAAGCTACTAAATCATATAAAAGCTGAAAAACCACATGGCAAGGCCAATAATTCATAGCAACCCTGATATTAACATATTAAAACTGAATTTCCTCAACTAAAGAAGGAAATTTTGATTCACTACACAAACCATGAGATTTTCCATGAAATCTATCAAAATCAAGTCTTATCTCTACTCAATTGCAAATTAAAAGAAAAGAGATGGTTTCTTGACATGATTACCTTGAAATTGTGATGACTTGAAAATTTGCTTATATTTTCTTATAATTTCCTCTTATTTTGAATAAATTATTTTATAATTCCTTTACTACTAATTTTATTCCCTCAACAGTTGTAATATATAATAGAATCGAGAGTTTTATTTTTACTTTTATAGTTAGAGCAAATTAGGATTTTAGCGCATTTTGGTAGTGTGATCACTTGGTGAGGTGTGTGTACTAAATTTGGTGGATAAGAGTGAGTATTAGGTAGGAGAAAGTGAGTGATTAAAAGTGCTAACACAAGTTTGAGAGAGTTAAGGAAAAAAGTCTTGAATCGACGTGCACTGTTTACTATCGATTGAGTACACCAATTGAACACTAATTTTTTACCTTAATATCCTTGCTTTTATTTTAGCAAAATCAACCCTAAAGTACCTCCTCAAGCAGTCGAAATTCTTGACTGAAGAAAGGGAGAAAAGAAAAAAAATTGAGATTGAATCTCAGTGCGACACTTGTCGGAAATCCAAGGAACTTTGACTAAGCTAACTTTCTTCCTTCTTATCTACTAATTTGGCTCACTTTCCTCTTCTTTTCTTCATGGTGGCCAAGACATAGAGGAGAGAAAAGATAGAAGAAACTTTCAATTTCCAACCTTGATTCTAGCCTTATTTGAGTTGAATCGAAAAAACTAAACCGATTAAACCTTCATCTTGGTGCTTGGGAAGCTTGATGTAGTGAAAGTCTTGGGAGAAATTGTTTGATTCCTTACTTTCAAGAAGGTTTTGTAAGGTATAAGTCTAGAACTCCCTTTTATCTTTCTTAATTTAGCTAAATATGCTATAGAAGCTTTTAATCTTGGCATATGATGGATGATTTTCTAGTTTTTGGTGGTGTAGTGAAATTTTCAGATAGGGTTTAC